TCAAGTAAGTAATATTTTAAATAGAAGTAAAAATAAAATATATATAAGTAAGTATATAAACATTATTTGTATAATGCAAACGACGATCTTTGCACCTATATGTTAATACGTTTTTCATTATGGGTCATTATATATAATTACCATTATATAAACTTCCGTAACAAATATGAGGGAATTCAAACTGACGCGACGCCTAACAATAGTGGCTCGGAACAAAGGTGCGACGTAACGTAACTGTTACGAAATGTGATGAAAAATTTGTGTTTAGGGACAAATAAGAAAGATGGCCAAACGATCAAAATTAAGTAAATAGGTTAGTTTGGTAATATTTAATTATTGTGAAAATATCTCTTCGACCGTAATAGCACGGTAATGCTGTAATATTACCGTGGTAATAGCTTCTGGGTGAGATTAAGTAACTATGGCTTTAAATAAAATCTGCGTTATAATAATTAAAATCTGAGGAAAATCAATCAAAAATCATTGTGTTATTGTATAGAAAAACTGATATTGCTTAGAATAACTTTATGAAGATGAATAAATATACCTACTTATAAATATAAGTTACGAACTCTATTTTTGGTTATATCGACAGGTAACTTGAATTACTGTCGCACGAATCTATTGCATTTGTAATGTATTACTCATAAAAATACACATAACTAACCTAATCTTACGTAATATTTGAATTTTGACTAGAAATTTATATGAATCTATACTAATTTTATAAAGAGGTAAAGTTTGAGAATTGTGAGTTTGTGACGTTCTAGGGGGTAATCTCTGGATTAACTGAACCGATTTAGATTAAATTTAGTAAGAAGATAGTTTGAGACCCTGGAAAGGACATAGGATACTTTTTATCCTGGAAATCATCCCTTAAGAGGGTCAAAATTTTGATGAAATTTTTTATGGCGAATAATAATCTATACTGATCGAATTTCATATGGAGAAACAACCTAAGGACAAACCCGAGCGAAGCGAGGGTGAGTCTCTAGTTATATATATTTTCAAGATACCTATGCGCATGGGCGGCGGCAGAATCATTTCCAGGGAGGTGCATCTGCTTCTTCACATTAAACTACTAACTAATCTTTAAATGATTAACTTTATAAATTTAATTCATAGCTTATTTATCGTCTTTTATTGAAGATATTTAAATCTAAACAGGTATTTTAGTCATATAATTTTATTTCTATAGCTTTTTCTATATATTTTCTCTCCGGGCAGGGAGATGCAAGTGCACCTTCTTGCACCCCGCTCCTGGCGCAATACCTATGCCTGACAAATATTTTTATCATAGACAAAAAAACAACACTTAAGAGAAACTCCCCTTTTTAAGCGTTATAAAATGGTGTAGTGGAAAAAAAAGCAAAGCTTGCTACAACTATTTATCCTCTCAAAAAAGCTATCATTTGAAAACTATAGTAGTACCTACTCTATAACTAAACGTTCTTACAATTAACACGCCATACATACTTTTTCTTGATGGGAAAACATCATACTCCCATAGTAATGAGTACAATCGAGCAATTAAAGTGAGATGTTTACGTGTTTCATATTATTCATTCTAACAATTTCACTGTTCACTTTCTAACACTCTAGCCGTGACTCGATTATAATTCACTAATGGTACGACCAATAACAAAAAGGATTTGGAGATGACTGGACAAGCGTTCATGGTAAAATTTTAATTAAACCAAAATAATTTTTCACTGGAAAGATATATCCATACACATAATAAAATTGTAACTAAGCTGAATTAAATATTTTTTGGAAAATCTTATTGAAATAAACATTATTATCGATACAGAGGCCGAATCTATAGTTTTAGAATTTTTGTCTGTCTGTCTGTCTATCTGTTACCGCATCACAGAAAAACCACTGGAGGGATTTTGATGAAATTTTGTATGGTAGTAGCTGATTATCCGGATCAACATATAGATACTTTTTATGTAAAAATGTGTGAAAATGTCTCATTTCTGAGAAGAAATAATACAAAAACTACAATGTAAGAGTAATATGTAATAAGTAAAACCTAAGAATTTGGTTTTTGGTCTTCTGAACGCGGGCAGAGCCGCGGGCAATGCTAGTATACATATAATTAACTTCAAAATATCATACGGAAGTAATTATTCTATCCTTAGTAAAGAAATTATAATTCGCGTTTAATATGAGCACTCTTGAAATATAACATATTCAATAAAAAAAACCATAAAAATCAATTCTCAATTATTTGCGAAGATATCGTGTAACATACACAAAATAATATACATATACTTATAAGTATATGGAAATGTCAATAAAATCTCTTAGATTAAAAATCAGGTATGAATGTTAAATATTATTATAGCTATTTGCATTTGCAAAAACAATACAAATCGTTCATATTTACGAATATAAAAACCACCGAATCGTAAACAATATAAAGATATGAGTTTAAAATACTCGTATATGTATATAATAATAATTTCTTAGTTGTTCCATAATTAACGGAACGCTTTGAGACCCTATTACAAAGTCTACGCCGTATGTTTGTCCATCTGTTCTACCTCGAATTGAAAGGGCCGTATCTTCTGAACCGTAAAAGACATCCGGTTTTTATTGTAGAAAATTCGTTATTCGTTAAAAACATCGACCTAATCTACTAAAAAATGTAAAAAGTTTGAGTTAACTTTAAATAAAAGCGATAAAAACAAAAAAAAATTAAACTGGACAAGTACGAGTTGAATACGCAATAGCTCTTATTTTATTAGACAATATGGGTCTCAATATACTGCAAAACGACATTCGCAATGGGTGACATGTTACGGCAAACAGATTGACCATAAGTTACACGTCTATCCTCATAACTTTTTTCGCTTTCCTTCCCTAAAACACTGAGTTGAGTTCCACAAGGCTAAAAAACAATAACATGGTTTTCATACATTTGTATTTCTTTATAAATTGATATAGTAAAGTACTTATTATGATTTATGATATGATATTATATTATTATTATACTAGCATTGCCCGCGGCTCCGCCCGCGTTCAGATGACCAAAAACTAAATTCTTAGGTGTTACATATTAGTATACTCTTACATTGCAGTTTTTGTATTTTTCCTCAGAAATAAGATATTTTCCCGCGGTAAAAAGTATCCTAGGATCGCGCGCTACATCGCCCGGTTTATATAGCTTGAGCAGGCGGTCGAGCGATGCGGGGCAGAGGGGATGGACTCGCCGTAGGCATCTCAATGCTCGCCAAGCATTAAAAATGTTTCGCTACTAATTACTTCTAACAACGATATCTCAAAAACTATTCATCTGATTGATTTAGTGTAAAGAGCAATTTTAATCTGCATTAAATGACTAAGCTAACTAAAATATTCATTTGGATAAGGATTAATACCGAACTAAAGAAAATAACTTTGAAAATAACGTAATGTTTTTAATTAAAAATGTTAACATAAAAGTGGTTATTGTAAGTCAACCGTAAGAGATAGAGATATGCTATCGCGGACTTTTTTGTAGCATTTTTATAGATTTTGAATTCTCTAGTACATTACTTAACTGTATCTTTGCTAGTTTACGCGGCGTTCGCGTGGAAAGTTCCCATTTGGCGAGATTTTTTGCGACCTCTTCAACATTTGTCGCCGTATTTCAGCTAATTTACATAAAAGCATAATAAATTATATACCTAAACCTTCCTCAAGAATTACTCTTTCTATTGTTGAAAACCGTATAAAAATCCGTTCAGTAGTTTTCGAGTTTATCGCGTACAGACAGACAGGAGGACAGACAGGAGGACAGAAAGACGCGGCCGGGGGACTTATTTTTATAATAAGTATAGATAGATAGATTATTATGCTTTAGATCAAAAGCATCAAAAGATGTTATTGATTGCAGTTTGTGTGATTATAATTTTTGTGTCTTAAAAAGCTAGTTGACAATGATAATATTTATTTTTCATTTTCTACCGTTTTTTTTTTATCATTTTAATCAAACCAGGATAATTTTCTTTTAGCTTAAATTAAAAGATAATGTCTCAAGGACTTCAGGGCTTAAATTCCTTAGCTAGGGTTTAATATAAAATAAGCTGAATCTAATGCTATCGACTTACTTGGTATTTAATTAGAAATAATTAACAATGATATCTTAATTATCATGCAGTTTATTTTGAATAATTGCATCATTGTATGTTTATGCAAAACAATTGTGTATCTACATCTCAGCATCAGCTTACTAATAAATAATCAGTCAAACATAAAAACAAAAACAATTTCATGCATATATGTATTGTATTGTATTTAATATCGTAAATGTTAAATTTTAGATAATTATATTTGGTCTACTACTAGTATTTTTATGTATAATTTTAATTATGTGATTGCCTTTTTTGGCATTTGTTTTTATTTTTTTACAGCACTTTGTAATTTTTTTTTAAATTTCACATCAAAATGTTTTTTTTTAACGAAGAAAAATTAATAAAGAAACATCTCCTCCACAATATTTTTATTTTTTCTCATGTATGAAGCAAACTTTATGACTGTTATCATCTTAATTGCTACTGAAGTATGTTGTGAGAAGCAAAAATGATGGAGCAATGAAGACATTGTATTTGTTCAAGAAGTTTTTCGAATAGAACATTTCACAATTACAGACAATATTATAATAAAAATGATTATAATAAAATTAATGAACACATAATAATTGGTATTTCCCTAAATTAATCATATAAATCAAACATTTCCAGTCTTTTTTTAATGTTAATGGTTAGTCAAATGTTAGAAAGAAATTAAGAATTTAGGAATTTAATTTTAATACTTTATAATTATTATTTAGGCATTTTCATTGTAATGATTATCAGCCGTAAAAGGAGGCTATATACTTAAATACCTAAAAGTTTAAAGGAAATCAAAGTTTTTAAGTTTTCAAACTATAATAATATTTGGTAAATATATAGGAATACAGTAAAAAATGATAAAATGTATATTAAATGAAAGTGGATATCCTTTTCGCTTACCTGTTAATTAAGCTCCAATGTTTCACGGCCTTGTTTTCAAACCAGGATATAAGCTTTTAATTTTCAACCACAAAACTAACTCACTCGTAACTTAATAGATAAAGGACTAATTTTCCTATCGTAACTACATATAATTTCTTCAAAATACTTTTAACTTAGTTTCACAGAAGTATTAAACACCTTACGTTTACATTTAACAATACAAAATATAACTTTCGTGGCGCACACGATCACAGAATACAAATGACACACAAGTCAACAGCTGCCAACTTGACACTGACAACACCTTCTAATGACATCCCCACTTAAAAATAAAGACAACAGATTAAATTAAATTTACAACATTTAGTAAATCTTTAGCATAGAGTATATTGCTATCTTTAGGTAATGTAATTTATAATGTTTTTATTTTTTATGGTTTACAAAATACCTCACAATGATTTTTTTGTAGTTTAACTATGTTTTTAAGTCTTTAACTAGCTGTTATGTACTTCAAAAATTATAGTACTTTCGTTTAAGATTGCATAAAATTTTATTTTATTTAAGATTGCATTGCATAAAATAAGAAGTTTTTATCGGTAGATTTGTAAAGGAAACAAAATAATTAAAAAGGAAAATAAAAAAAACACTTACGCCATTTTTTGAACTTTAACGTTATATTTTAATGAGAAATAAAATCAACGAATTATTACAATAAATCAGGGCCGGTTTTCCATAAAATAGCCTTATTGATTTAACACAAAAAAAATTCAGGTTACCTAAATGAGGCTCTGATAATAATAGTCTTATTTATATATATTTTTTAATACATACTTAAGCGCATCACTATATTTGATTTAATATAATAAAAATAATAATCACTAAAATCATGAAAATTTAAAGACATCTTAATATATTATATTGGAAGCCCTATATAAATATCAAATAGTAGGTATCAGAAGTTTATAATAATTACTTATTCTTTGGTGGCCTAGCACCAAATATACTAGAACCAACACGGACAGTTGTAGCTCCTAGTTCAATCTGAAAGAAATTTCAAATTTAATATAATATGTTATTTCTATAATGTAATTTTATAGTTAATTATATATTTTTTGGTATAAAAATGATTGCAGAATGAATGAATAATTATATGAGAGAAATGAAAATATAATGAATGATTGGAGAGCTAAGCATACAATAAAAATTCAATACAAAGATGTGATTTTAAAATATTATTAAATTAAATAAAGTAATACATACAGCATGTTCAAAATCTGTTGACATCCCCATAGACAACTCCACTTCATTAATATCCAATTTTAACTTTTCACAGACTTCCTGTCTGCATTTGGCAAGGGTTATAAAATCTGGGTTTGGGCCCAAAGATGTATCATAATCATATTGACCAATAGTCATAAGACCTTTGAAATTTAAATTTGAACAATTCTTTATGACATGTTCAACTAGATTTGTTGTATTTTCAGGTTCAATACCATTTTTAGCTGAAAATGTTAATATTTGATAACAACTACTGTGTATAATATTACATAATTTTATTGAACTAGTTCAAAATTTCAATTTTATATAATGTAAAGTGTATTAAAAGAAATGGTTTATGTAATGTCAGTTTGTCAGTTTCATATGAGTGTAAGTTGCATAATAAATAGTATGCAACATAAACTTCACAAAGAATTTACTATTAAATATTATACTACCTTCTTCTGCACTAGTGTTAACTTGGACCATAATATTTAATCTTTCTTCTTCTTTCCTGAATTTGAGCCATTGTTTATTCAAATTGTCAGCCAATTTCTGGGAATCAACTGTTTCTACTATATACAAGCCTGGTGATCCCAATAATTTATTTATTTTATTTGTTTGGCAATGGCCTATAAAATGCCACTTTATTTCTTTACACTTTTCTAGAATATTAGGATTACTTGCTTTCTCAGCAAGTTCATTAACATAGTTTTCACCAAAATCTCGCTGTCCTGCTTCATAAGCTTCTATGATAAGAGGAACTGGTTTAATTTTCGACACAGCCACTAATTTTGGAGCAATTTGAGGAAGATCCTGAAAATCATTTTATTTATGTCTTACACTACACTAATACATGTGAATAGATTTCATTAAATGACAATATTGAAACATATTATCATAATATATAAATTATGATATGAATTTCTCTTTAACTTAAGCAAGATTGTAAGTTTTAAAGAAAAAATAAATATTTTAAATGCTGTAATTACGAATGACTTTTATTTGCTTTTAATACCTACAAAACATTTGACTTTAAATACTAACTTTGCTTCTCCTAGCCACCGCAGCCTCTATTTTTGACAAAACTGACTTCAGACCATACATTATATCCACTTGGTCGGCTTTTTCATTAGACATTATTTATTATTTAACTTGATAGCGAAAGTGTGCAATATTGCGATTTGCGAGTGATATCTGACGTTTGTTATCAATCGAATAATCATTGGTCAAAACTCAAATGTCAATTAACAAGTCAATTAAAAGCACAGGTAACATATTTATTTGATAAACCGTGTCATTATTTAAATCATGGAAGACAAATAAAAATTAGAATCTATCATTACGACAATTACGGACGACGCGACGGCGAGGACGATATTTAGTGCGATTGACCAATAATAATAATTTTTAACATATAAAAACAAGAGCTTAATGCACTACTCACTAGTTCTAGCGCTTATTATCCTTAATCACGACTCTTTAAATAGTTGTGTTCTATCAAGTAACACTTACTCTATCGTTTTTATTGAATTAACGGATTGACAAAAATATGTTTTGTTTAATATTATAATATTTATATCGTCGCTGTGCCTGCAAAAACCGACAAACAAATAAAATCAACTTTTCAGTAGAAACAAAAAAACTAATTTTAACTTCTGCCAACGTATGTAGGAAAAGATTGAGTATGTACAAAATTCCTTACGCTAGTCTTACAACATATCCCTTCCTTAAAACCAAAATTTAATTCTTGTTTTTACAAAATAATTTTTTTTGACTTTAAAATAATACATAGCTACTTTTTTTTGCGCCGCAAATACAGCTATATATTATTCTAACACATAGCGGGATAACGTACAATTTCCCACAATTTCAGCCCCTTTTTCTAGATATGCAACAAACTGCATAAATAACTTTGTAATCCTATATAAATAAATATGCGATTACAATGTTACTTTTGCAGTACATACTTAAATTTTTCGTCACTACCTAAACGGATAGGTAGGTAAATAATAGATATATTGTACAGTAAGTCACAGATGATGTCTCTTTTAATAATATATCTATATTGTACTTATGATTCGACGCAGCGTGGCGAAGGCAAGCATTAAGGCTAAATTGAGTTGAAATGGTTAAGTTATTCTATTTATTAAAAAAAATAAGATGTGTAATATTAATACGGTCTCTATAAAATGTTTTTATTTAACTAATTAGGTAACAATTTATGACAAAGTTGTTGGATAGATACTTCCATATACTACTAATAAATTAACCGACGTTTTACAATAGATCTTACAACTTTTTGCGGTAGAAGAACTGCTAAATTTGCATTTTTTTAAATGTTATGTTTTTGATATGATGCTTTACTGTAGTACTAATTAAGTTCGAATTAACAAAAATGAATTATAAACTTATATCGTCAAACACATGGTATTGTGTCTAATGAAAAACCAGCTATGTGCTGCTAAAGGCGCGAAAAGTGTAACTTTCAGCATATTACAAAATACTCTATGTGCTATTATAAGCACATATCTTTTTTATACATCCATTTTTGTAACAAAAATACATAGGGCATTTTGCTATTTTTGGATCATGTAGACATATCACAAAATTGGTTATTTTGGAATATTTGGCTTACTGAGTACTATTAAATTATGTAAAAAACTCATTTACGCAAAATAAATGTTTGTCGGTTTTTGCAGGCGCGGCGACCATATATTAACTTTTGTTTTTCTTAAACATAGGAGGATGGAAACATTATAAGTATTAATTTTAGAAGCAGGCATCACAGATGAACGTCAACAAAAGTGATTGATTTTCCCATTTGTTTTGTTGCGTTTTTCCACTACGGAAATTCTAATTTTCCAACTACGAATATCTCAATTATGTTTAAGTTACTTATTTTATATTTTGGCTGATAATTAAATAGCCATGAACGTATTAGAGAAGGCGGAGAAGGCATTGGAGTATTTACGAAATAGTGAAGGGATTGCCAAGTAAGTGTTTAGTATGCGGCGTTGTTAATAAATTCAGATCTAAGTACATAAATCGACTTATTTTTTTCTTACCTGTATTTAAATTTCATATTTTCCTTAAATAATAATTATTATATCCATATATATGCAAAGAAAAGTGTTACTGTCCTTAAAGTAACAGACAGTACTTTTACAGTATTTTTGCTGTCAATGTTTACAATTTTTTAAAATTAAACTATGTACTTCAAACTTCTTTTCTATTTTAGTATCTAACTTGAAAATATGTATGGTACATGATATAATTAAATGTTATTACAATTTTTAGAGGCCATGAGTTACAAGCAGCTGCAGGTACATTAGGAAGATGCCTTGGAGCATTAGGCAGTCGGCAAAACTGCGCCCGTCATTATGCTAATTTATTAAATTCAGCTATACCTACTTTGTTAACTTTGGCTAGTAATGAGAGTGTAAGTTTCTTTGTATGATAAATAACAATTTTATATAAATAAAAATCTTACTACTTGTTAGATTTTAATAATTAGTATTTCTTAGAATGTGTTTAATAAGAAGTGATAATGGTACATATTTATAGTTTTAACTTATGAAAACATTTGTTGTTGTTTATCTAATATTAATTGTCTCAGTAATTAACAGAAGTTTCCTTTTTTATATTTATATGAACTTAAAACATTATTGCTTGAAGTACATGTTTTTTAAATTAAAAATGTATGTATGTAGCTCAGTACATTTAGATTTTATTTTACAGGCAGAAGTGCGTTTACTAGGTGATGAGGCATTAAATAGAGCTGTAGCTGGTGGGTTTGCCTTTCATTCATATAAAACTAATATTGTATTGCAAAATCAAATAGACCCTAGCAAAAATGCAAGGTAAGTTGTTATTTTTTCTTAAATATTGTTCTTAATTGTTGTAATCTTTTGTTATATCTTTATCTGGATGGCTTTGCTTATTTAGTCTAGGACTCTAGTGGTCCCAGGTTTAAATACTGGTCATGCCATTATTGAATTACCTAAATTTACACATGTTGTCTTAGTGACAAAGCTATTCAATATTTGGATAACCTTTTTATATTACCTTTTATATTGCTTAGAATTTATATTTGAAATTGTGTTTAGGTGGATCAGAGCAGCTCTCTCCCGTATATGTCTTGGTGATTGCTGGCTTCGCCCAGGCATGGGTAAAATTCGATCCCAAGCTCAAACATTATTTCCAAAACTAAGTCAAATAGTGCGTCAGACAAATGAAATACAGTTAATAGTTGAGGCGTTAGAGAATAACCTGCCCAGGATATTGACCGCACTAGCTGAATATACTACGGATGAAGAAATTTCTGGTAAATATTGAGAATATTTCATGTTTGTTTGCTTAATTTGTGTAAATTTTATTGAATTTAGTTTAATTAGGTGATTTGGAACGAACTGTTTTATAAAAAAAATAAGTTATTAGGTTAAATTAATTTATCGCACTGACACAATAACATATATCTATACATAGTATTAAACAAAGTCGTGGTCTCTGTCTGTTTCTCCGTGCTTACTTCTTTTGAATGTAATGGATTCTGATACCGTTTTCACTATTTATGTGGAAGTTGTATGTATATAATTTGTAACTTTTTTATACTAAACGACTTAAGATAGAGAGACAACAAAAAAATGAAAATTGTAGGTCTTACAAAAGCCTAAAGATAACAATAGCATTTGTCTATTGGTACATTCAAAATAACTATTTTCTATACATATAATATCATTTTATGGAAAATCTTTTGAAATAAACATTATTATCGATATAGAGGCCGAATCTATAGTTTTTAGAATTTTTATCTGTCTGTTACCGCATCACAGAAAAACCACTGGAGGGATTTTGATGAAATTTGGTATGGTCGTAGCTGGTTATTCGGGTGAACATATAGAATACTTTTTACGGCGGGAAATTATCTCATTTCTGAGAAAAAATACAAAAACTGCTATGTAAGAGTATACTAATCTGTAAAACCTAAGAATTTGGTTTTTGGTCATCTGAACGCGGGCGGAGCTGCGGCCAATGCTTGCTATCTATATATAAGACTTACCTAAGGGATGCACACGAGCGAAGCTAGGATAAGTCACTAGTGTTAAATATATTTTGCATTAATTTTCATTTTAGATCTATCTAAGGCACTGCTATTGCATGTGGAAAGTATTGAGCCAGCGGTTCGTCGTGGAATATCTAATTGTGTTGCACATTTATGTTCCCACCGGGAACCTTTGCTGACTAATATATTGGGTAAAGTGTATGGTGAGTTTCTTACCTTGAACTTAAATGAAAAATAATTCGATCTGTAGTATGTTATATTATTGCAATTTTAATATATTGTTCTTATTTAATATTGCGCACTAAGTTGCTACAACTATTTTATAAATACTGTGATTAGGTCTCACTTGTGGTCACGTAGGTCATATGGATTCTAGATCAATTTTTTTTTCAAATTCATTTTAATTGAGTGAAATGCAAATAGACTTAAAAAATAATAATAATGAAAACCCAATATTTTTATTTTGCAGAAAAGTTATGGCCGTTGACAGTGGATGATACAGTGGTGATAGGATGGTTTTGCGTCATCAAAGCCATATTCCAGATAAACGATATTACGAAGTTTAAAGAGAACGATGTTTTTGGTATACAGGATTATTTGGAGGTGAGCTCTACAAAAAAAACATATAATAATGTGGTAACATATAATAAATTTTATATTACTTACAAAAGGAACTTTAACATGGCTTGTGTAAAAATACCTTTGTAGATATATATGAATATTTGATATTTTAAATATTAATTTAACCGGAGTTTTAGATCATATTTACAAAATCACGACAAAACCCTAAAAGATAGTTCCATTTAAAATCATAAAAGGTATATACCATAACACTTTCTTAGATTTACGCGAGTATTTGACATTTTAAATGAAACTTATCTTTTCGGATTTAATCGTGGATTCATTTTGAATTTTGGTTTGCGAAGATTCCAATTCTTTACAGCAATCACGTTCACGGGGGACGAATAATTGGTTAAATTCCGCGTTGAAAAGCTCACAAACAGTAAAAATTTAGTGTCATTTGACATTTCTAGAGACCTCACCAGTAACGCCACTAGCGGCCTAATTCAAGCGCGGTAGATCTCATTGACTAGTATTAACAAAACGATGAACAGTATATCAATTGACAAGTGTCAACCCAATTCCAGTTATACCAACTGTGCATCCACTACACGGAGCACAGCACAGAGCACAACGCACAGAACGCCGTGCTCGAGTGCTTGTGCGTGGTGCTGGGCGGCGCGCGCGGCGCGTGGCGCGCGGCGCTGCTGGCGCGCCGCCCTGCGCGTCTGGTGCTTGAGAGACGCGCACACAGGCGGAATATGAGTGAGCTTGTTTGTTCATTCGTTCGTTCATTCGTTCATTAGTTCTTTTATTCATTTATATGTTCATTCATCCATTCATTTATTTAGTTATGTACAGGTAGGTTTTTTTTGGGACATTAACACAGAGCGCCATCTAGTTCCATGCTAAGCTATGAGGGTTGTGTTATGGATACCAGATAGTTGATACTCTTACACATAATATATAACTTTTAAAGTACATACATATTATAAATATATAATAAATTTGATTGACCCATGATTTGAGTACAAACATTTGGGCCCATCACACAAATGAATGCTTCCATCGGGACTCGACCCGCGACACAGCAAGTATAATAACCCCTACAAACTGAGCCAAAAGTGTCGTCAAACATTACAGGTACAAATTCTAATATGGTACATGTTCATTATAAATTATATTTAATAAATATGATAATTTGCTTTATACGTCTGTTACCAATATCGAACGGTTTTCTACTGGAATAAAATCGACCAGAATCCAACAATTACACAAGATATATTGTAGTGCAGTGTTCATTGTCAAATTCTAATTCCATTTCTTTCTATGCCTCCTTTGTGTATGCCATGTTGGCACAGAGAACCTAGTGTTAAAAAGGGCTAACTACTTAATGCATAATAATTCCACACTGTTTCTTTTTTTATTCTCCAAGTCTCTATGTGTGAAAACTCCAAATAGTGTAGACCATAGCACAAAAACCTAGTAATAAAAAAGTCTTGAAAAAAACTGTCAAGTGCGAGTCGCACTCGTACAACAAGGTTTTCGTACCATTAGATATGACACTATGTACTAATCAATTTTTTTATATTTGCATAGGGGTCATTTTGAAATTAGCCATTTTAGTTTTTTATTATTTTTTCTTATAGCGGCAGTAAAAATATACACTATGATAATTTCAATTCTACCTATTACTGTTCACAATCACAAGATATAGCCCATTGACAGTGGAGGTTTAGTAATTGGTTTCCATTGAAACCCTTCGGATACAGAACCCTAAAAAGAGACATTAATTACAGGTTACTCCAGTGCAATATCAGCTCGTACAATAGCGAGTGTGCAGTTGGACTCAAAGGATACGGAGATATGCTTCACTGGTGCCTTACAGTTGGGCAGCTTGTTGCAGCTGAACTCGCTTAGTGGTAGTACTGATGAGCTGGCTATACAGGTATAGGTTTTATTCGTCTATATCTGTTTAATGGTTTTTATTAGTAAGTGCGAGTGTGGGCGTGAGTGTATATGTGTAAGTGTGAGTGTGTGTGTGAGAGTGTGTGTAAGTGTGAGTATGAGTGCGTGCAAGTTTTGAGCGAGTATGCGAATGAGTGTGGGTGTGTGTATATTTGTGTGCGCCCGTGCGAATGTATATAAGATTTAAATTTTAGCGTAAAATGGAGCGTGTAGCAAAAAAGATTGTGATTGGTTGTTTTTTGGGTGCGGATGGCGTCTAGAGAATATGGCGGATATGTTCGAAATGTGTAATCGGTTCAGCGTAAAAAAATTAAATTAAATTTCTTATTAGTGAATCTAGCCTATTATTTCCATCCCACATGTAGGTGTGAATGCGTGTGTGTGCGCGTGTGTGTGCGCTGCGTGCATGTGTTATACATTGTGTGTAAAACCTTTACTCTCCTCAAACAGACCCCAGACTCGCCACAAAGCGAGCCGGACATACAGCTGACGGATACGGAGCAGCTGTCCAGGGAGCTGACGGAGAAGCTGCAGGACTATGAGGATGATGGCGATGATGATGTGGTGGTCAGTCGTGATGGAGGGTTTAAGGTATGCTTTACATATCATAGCAAAATATATCTTTAGCTTTTTCCCGCGGTTTTGCTCGTGTTGCTTATATATACTTTGTTAAATACTGCTTTATATAATAATCTCAGACTAAGGAATTTCATATAGGCAGGGCATTATAGAACTAAACATGAAGCAATGGATATATATATATATATATATATATATATATATATATATATATATATATATATATATATATATATATATATTCTTCAACGAAAGTCGTACATCTGTATGGCAAAATCAAGAGTAGTAGCATAAACAGCAAATCACGCTACTATTTTTGACTTTGACATTTATCTTGGCGTTTAGGCGGACTCCGTGTGTATAATTGTTTAGGCTAAAATAGTAGTATAATATAGATTATTAAGTTGATAAGTCGCTTAAAATTTTTTTTTAATATTATTTTTTAGTTCATATAATAATACCTTTTTTGTTGCCAATGAAAGTGAAAGATAGATTAAAGTTTGTGTCATACACATTTTTGTAGGTTAATATCGGATCTTTGACAGACGAGGATGTGAGGTTGAAATACTGCGGTCGATTGCTGATATCTAAGTTTCTTCTTACGGGCAATAAAGGAGGAGTGATATCTGATAGGTAATGATTTTTATAATAAAAATTGAGCCCTTTTAACGTCTCACTGCTGGGTGTGGGCTAACTTCAATGCAAGGGGGATCAGGCCATAGTCCACTACGCTAGTCAAGTGCGGGGCGTACCTACTGCTTAGGTCTCGAAAACTTGCTAGGTTATCTCAAACATGCAGGTTTTCTCACGATGTTTTCCTTCACCGTAAGACAAGTGGTAAGTAATTATGATGGAAATGATTCGCACATGAAAATGTCAGAAGTGCGAGACCCGCGTTTTGAACCCGCTTCACTCGGTTCCCCAAGCGAGCTAATTACCACTGGGCTACCACTAAAAAAAATGTTAATACAGATTAGTATGCAGGCAACCCTTTTTAAAGCTGATATTTTTTTTTTATATCATTTCTTATAATTATTAATGAGGGTGGTATTTTAATTATTTGAATTTTTTTAACTTTCATTTTATAGTTTAATCTATTGTAATATTGTGTTAATAATTCATTTTTTTCTTCATTCTACGTGACATTGGCGAAGTAATCTGTGCTCAACTGTCACGCTTTGAAGCCATTAACTAGAAAATTGAATTATATAATTCTTTTTTAGGTCAGTTCGAGTGTCAGTAAAATCGTCGGCACTATCATGTCTATCAGTTATCCTGCAGATTTATCCACAGCTTATTACATTTTACTTAGATAAAGATGCTGATTTGAAATATATTAACTGTTCAGGTAAGTGTTTTGCTGTATAAATTATTTATTAACTGATCAGGTATATAATATCATTTTGATGTATTTTTTATTGGATTTTCTGAATAGTAAATATGATTGTATACACAAATATTGTCATTTAAGAATATTTAATATTTTTTTTTAAATTAACACCTCCAGGTAAATTTCTAAGAAATTAATTAAAATTCTAAGAAATCTATTGTTAATTGACACGCCGGCGTGTCCGCGGTCGTGGGGGGATTAACAATGCATTGTAGCGACTTGCATTAACTAGTTTAATAGTTAGTTGAAAATTAAAATAATAGACACTGTAACTGGCCTGAAATCCGTAAAGCTATAATTGTATTGAATAAAAAAAAGCTAATCAGATAGTTCTATACACAATTTTAAATTTTAAAGTTAAGAGATGGTACTTCCAATATATGGTAAATATTACTTTCTTTTGTTGCTGTAGGATTAAGTTTTTTTTTACAAATTGATGTACTTTTAATACACTTTGCTTTTGACTTTTGCTTATATTTAAAATTTAACACTAACGCAAACTTGTATGTAATAGTATTCAAGTCAAACCTCAGTGTTTTTTGTAATGCTACATTATGTTAAACGTTTATAGTCTAGGCTGTAAATCTATACTAATATTATAAAGAGGCAGAGTTTATTTGAAAGCGCTAATCTTAGGAACTACTAATCCGATTTGAACAATTCTTTTTGCATTAGATAGCCCGTTTATTGAGCAAGGTTGTATATTATCCGGTAAAATGTACGTTTCCCGTGGGATAGATTTGCTTTTGTCTAAGTACGAACCCGAAGCGTAGCCAAAGTGAGTTGTGTTAAATAAAAAAAAACATATCCTATTTAACATAAATAGTAAATACATATATCTCATAAGACAATGAAATATGTTTTATATAATATTTATTTTCATTACTAGGTACATCAGAAGGTACAGACTCTAACCCAGAACACGTCAACGAATTCATATTAGAGCGCAACGTTTGTTACCAAGACTCCATAACAGAATCCCTAAGTCAAGAACTTCTAAACCGTAGTACGGACAGCCAATCCCAACAATACAAAAAAGATAGTAAATCACTAGAAAAATCCATGGAAAGTGAACAAAAAAGCTCTAAAGACGTCCAAAGCGCTATATTGGACAGTAAAATCGGCAAAGATTTAGTTGGAAGCGGTTTTAGTGCGGACAGCACTAACCCGAATATGACAAATAGCAATTTTACATCCAACTCGAATATGACAGGCAGTATCGATCACATATCGACTGGTTATCCGATGTCGAGTAGCGGCGATATATTATCGTCTAGTATCGATTTAGACATGAAGTTCGATCATTTCGGCGAATCGACAAACATGGAAATCGATGTCGAGAAGAAGCGCGAGTTGAAACGTATGGAGGAAGTCGATAATGATGTAGCTATCGATAATAATGCTGATAATAATATCGATTCCGAATTCGAGTTTCAGCATATGTCGGAAGTTTTTTTGTTGTTCGAATGCCACAATGATCCGCAAATACGTGGTTTGGTTAGAGTTTGTGTGGGGAATTATTTAGTGGCTGCTCTGGATATGGCTCATGGCGATTATAATAGATGGAGGAACTATAGCTTGTTACCGAAGGAAGTTAGCGATTGTATCACTGTTGAAAAGTTGATGGATATTATATTGAAAGTGAGTTTTTTGTCATATTTTTTTTTGGAGCCCTCTTAATGTTTATTGGAATTAATATTCAAAAATTAAGTTAATTGATAGTTTGAGAGAGATGTAGTACAGGATTTCTTGATTTGTATCGTGTAGAATTGATGTATATTAAATATTATTCGTTTAGGGACTATCAGACCACATCCATTCAACAGTGAATCACACACTATCCTCATTGAGTGGGATAGCAAGATCTCTCTGCGCCAGCCTCCACTGGACCATCATCAGCGAAGTTCTCAATTCTCTCATCAGTGTGCAATATAACACTTACTGGTTGTGTAGAGTCAATCTAGCTAAGTTATACGAATCTATGCCTTATCAGAGGTGAGTGTTGTGTGGAAATGTGGGAGAGAAGATACTCCTAAACATTTTACGTAAAAAGTAATGAACCGATTTAAACTACATTTTGTTTTCCCACGGGAAACACAATAACTGGTTCTGTCGTGGCTTCTTAGAAATTTATATGTGTAACGCTAGCTAAACCTCTTAAGAGATATATCAAAACAATGTACTTAAATATTATAGGTGTTAAAAAGGCCTACAGGTACACTTGCAATAACTATTTTTTCTATTTAAAACGTACCTATGGACGCACCCGAACGAAATAGCTATTTATATGTATATAAATGGTTAATCCTTAGTATCGGTGAACCTGTAATAATACAATATTTCGTTTTGCTCGGGTGCGTCCGTAGTTAGGTTGTAACGGTTAGTATGGAATAGATAGACTATATCCATACTAATATTATAAATGTGAAAGTGTGTTTGTTTGTTTGTCTTTCTTTCGGGTCGAAACGGCTTGGCGGATTGGCGTGATTTTTGTGTGGATATAGTTGAAGGACTGGAGAGCGACATAGGCTACTTTTTACCGCGGAAGTTTACCTATTTCCCACGGGAGAACACTTTATAATACAATCCAAAAAAATATTTTTGAATTACTTGAAACTTGGTATTAATGCTCTTCAATAAAATTAAACAAATACGTGTTTTAGCATTTTTTCGAAATTCACCCTATAAGGGGGTAAAATAGGGGATGAAAGTTTGTGGCTTGTATTATAACGTGTTTTCCCGTAGGAATGAAATAATCTCTCGCAGTATAAAGTAGCCTATGTCACTCTTCCTGCTACTATCTCCACTATACTCTAAATCTCTATTTTCAGACTGTTCACTCTACATCCGGAATATTATTCTAGAGCTAAACTAATAATGGATGCTTTAATGCATTTACTATCTGACCAGGATCAGAAAGTACGGTCAGCAGCCGCGCACGCCATTGCAAGGTAAGTGCTTAAGATATTTACCCGACTGCCGTGAAGCCCAAAGCAGGGTTGACTTGTTTATGTTGTTATTTGACTTGTTTGTATGTTTGTCCGATCTTATGTTCCCTCGTAATCTCTAACTTTCTTAACCGATTTTTAAGATTCATACGTCGTTAGATTCGTCTTGATAACTCCAGTGTCATAAGCTATAATACTTTTTTTAAATGTTTAGAATTAAATCAACAAATATTGTAAGGTACTTTGGGGCCATTTTTGAATTTTTGTAAAATTGTGGATAGGCACTATCTGTAACAAGTATATAGTGCCTTTGACAGATCTTCAACCTTAGTCTCTCTCCCGTGACCATGATTGCTGTAAAGCATTTGAAACGTCGGGAACCAAAAATCAAAATAATTCGAAAAGATAGTTTTATTTAAAATAATTTGTATAGTTATTGTTTTCGTTTGACAGTTCTAACTTTATCATCTTTCATATATCTTATTATTACTAGGAATTAGGTAAATAAAAATAAAACATTCATGAGGTCTGCCGACAGAAGTGAAAACTTAAAACTATGAACAAACAGTTGTTATATTTGGATATTCAAATTAATTGTTTGGTCTTAATTATTTTTTTTTTTATAAGTATACAGTAAACAACAATGGCTACGATGATACTGCAAAAGTATAAACTGCGTTGCAGATATCAACGCCCGCCTCCGTACAATATTTAAACTATTTTATAAAAACTAAAAAACAATAAGATGATGATGATGTATGTGTGAGTGTGTGTGTGTATGTGTATGTATATGTGTGTGTGAATACAAAATTCTTTAATAAACAATGGTTAAAAGTTCTTCAGTCTCGTCATACGTAATGGATTTAAGCCATGCTAAGCATACAGATTTGCAACGATAAGATGTGAGTGGATATATATTCAATAATTTATTGATTTTATTGTAGAGTAAACAGCTTAGATATGGGTAATGACGTTTTGCAACCGCGGTTCTTGCAGAATTAATTTGACATATAGCGTGGGATCTGCGTTTAGTACATAATATACTAGGGTTATAAGGAAGCTCAGAGTGTTTTCGAAGAACAGTTTGTAAAACAAAAAATTTCCTTACGGATAATACATTACTAAGAGCGTATAAATCCGCCGTGGGGAAATACATTGGCTTATTGAACATAACTTTTAAAACTGCTCTCTGGGCCCTTTCCAGTCTCAACATTAACGTTTTTAAATTTGTACATTTAAACTGTTTACATTTATCTGGTTTTGACATCTATCGGCACTCTGAGTGTTAGCCTTAACACGTCACGTGACCATGTCGATGACGACTTACATGAATTTACTCCCCATCCAAACCTGCCTATAGAAGTTTTCACTTCAAAAATATTTGTTTCAGGATTGTACCAAAAATCTATCCACCTCGCAAATCCACACCAATAACTATGATGGCTCAAATATCTAAAGAACATAGTAAAATATTTAGTTTTGACACACAAGCCCTGTCTCTGGAGTTAGTTCGAGACATATATTTTTACTGTGATATACCTGTGCAGTTGAAATGTGGTGAAATGATGGAAAATAGTGATAGCCTCATGGCTATTGTTGGTGATGTAGTTGGACGGTTAATGGCGTCTAATTCTAAAAGCTATTCGGTAAGTATGTGTTTTTTTGTTTTTATTTTTATGTAGGTTAGTTAATCAATAAGGTTTAAAAAAAAAAATAAGTTTTGAAATTTGAACTTATAAATATTTTATTGAAATATATAATTGTTTCTAATTATGTTTTTTAAATATTTTTACTTCAATATAGTTCAATTGAATATTAGGTTTGCTTTTAGGATTTGCATTTTAAGATTTAAAGTCAATGTTCGTAATCCACAAATGTCCTTACACACATTATAATTAATCAGTTAAAACTTAATAATATAATACTTTGATAGATTTACGCGAATATTTGACATTTTAAATAAAACTATCTTTTCGGATTTTTTGGGGATTTAATTAATTAAGAAGCGTCGGGAACTAAAAATCAAAATAAGTTCGCAAAAAAATCCGCAAAGGCCGTTTTATGTAATAATATAATAGAAAAAAAAGAAGTTTAACCCTAAAAAAAACCATCATTAATATTTTTTCAGCAAGGCCTCATAGAAACTCTGCAACATATATGCCGTATATGGTCGCCATGGAAACACACAGAGGCGTACACAGAGCAGGGTATTCTTGGTTATTGTTTGGATACATTGGATTATTGCAATGAGAACGTACCAGTTAGGAGCATGTTGCTTGATATATGCCGTTTGGTTTATCCAGGTATTGGAAATAATGACTTTGTCTATACTAAAATATAGAATTCTTAAAATGAGTTATTTTTCATTACTGATTAAGTTCTTTAATATAATATAATATATATATATATATATATATATAATGTTATTATATTGAATTGAGAATCTGTTAATTATTGTAAGAATAAGATATATGATGTATTATTATATTTATTTTGTTACTCTGTAGTAAGAACGATCTCATTCTTATTGGAAGAATCGTGTGTTTATACTGTTAAATAAAATATTGTAAAAATACACGAACAGAGTAGATAGAGACAGAAAGAGAGAGAGGGAGAGAGAGAGAGAGCGAGTAGAGAGATGGATAATGAACAAGAGAGAGGCTCGTTAAGGTTTTTTTGTAAAATTTCTGAAATATGGCGATGATTTTTGTGACACTGTAATAGTGCTATATGTACTTCTGACTACGTACCTAGGGATGAACCCAAGCGAAGCGAGGGCAAGTCAGTAGTTTAAGTATAATTTTATATTGTATTTTTAATTTATGTTGTATATGTATATTTTAGTTGAAATCCACAACATAATGCGTCATAAAACATCAAATAGAGACATATTCGAGCGCGACACACAAGACATAAACGAGAAATGGCAACACTTAGAGAACGAGAAAGTTGCCAATTTGGCTGAGAAATTCCTACAAGTGACTCTGAAGATGCTCAATGTACTAGTACATTTGATAGAGGAAGTTAATCCTAATGTGCATTTGCATAAGAGTGGTATTGCTTTGCCGGGTAGTCCTGTACGAAGGAAGACCCAGGGTGAGTTTGTTTATTCCATTTACATATATATTAAGAAAACAGTTTTGAATCGCTGTATGTACATATGTCATTTTATGTTTGTTCAAAAAAATAATAGGTTAAGTTTGTAAGATTGAATGTAGGGGGTAATCTCTAAAACTGTTAATTTAATTTATATTTATATTTTACTAATAGGAAGCTATGTTACGGCTAAGTGGTATAGACTAGTTTTTAATGTGATAAAAAGTGTTTAGTATCTGAAATCATAATAACTTTAATTGATGTCGGTAATCTCCAAAGATAACTGGATGTAAGTCGATAATCCATACAATTTCAAATTATAAATGTGAAAGTGTGTTTCTTTGTTTGTCCTTCTTTCACGTCGAAACAGAGTAACGGATTGGCGTGATTTTTTGTGTGGAGATAGTTGGAGGGCTGGAAAGTGACATACGCTTTTGACGTGTGAGATTATCTAATTTCCACGGAAAACACGTTATATAACTTATGTATATGTGTACTAGCGGCTCACCCTCGCTTCGCTCGGGTTCGCTTCGCTCGGGTTCGCTTCTAGAGAAACAAAAACAAATCTATCCCTTGGGAATCGTATATTTTATACCGAACCGGGATAAAAGTACCCTATGTGTAATTCCAGACTATAATCTATCTCTGTGCCAAATTTCATCCAGATTCGTTTAGCTGTTCTGGTGTGAAAGAGTAACAAACTTCCATACATACTCACAAACTTTCACAGTAGTATAGTATGGAAATAACATATAATCTATCTATTCAGAACGTAAAACTTATCTAGGGACGAACATGAGCGAAGCGAGGGTGAGCCGCTTGTGTTATATAATTGTGAACTCTTAACTGTGAATGTAAAGTAAATGTTATGTTATTTAGAATCAATCCCGCGTAAGAACAGCATCCCAACGGAATCAGAAGATAAAACTTTAAGAAAACGACCCCCCGTACCGGCAACTAGTTTGAAGGCCAATTTTGCGGGACACTTTTTCAATGAACCGTTTTACATGAAATTGTATGAAAATTTACGAGCCACATACTCTAACCATAAGGTAAGATTTTTTGCAAATTGTATTGATCTTAGTTTGTTCTTACCAGCCTTTATTTTTACGCAACCATCCGTCTAGAAAAAAGAAAAATTTGTTCAAATAAATTACAATAGATTATATATTAACTTATGTATTAGTTATACATACATATGTGAAAAATTACGTCGAAACTGTGTGCCAAAAAAAACTAAAAGCATACAGTTTAAAACGTATAATATATACTAGTTATAAAAGAAATGATTTTTTGTGGTTGTAAGTTTTTTTTTATTTCAGATAAATCTAGACCCAAAAACAAGTATTTTCCACGAATTCCTACAAACAACTTTAAATTGTCTTGCGATACAATTAGAATTGTCCACTGAAAGGGAATTTGGTGCTGTCACAGAAGAAATACTATTCTATCTTAAAGTCATTATGCCTCTATGTCCAGACTTAACAGTCTATAACATAACACAATTACTGAAATGCCTTTTCGGCACAAACATGATAAACCAGTACGCGGACTTTTTAAGTATCGCAGATAAAAAAATTATATACGAAAAACCCAATTTCTTCCAAGACATTATGATGGTGAATATGGGGAAAGTGACAGATGATGATAAAAGCAGTATAAGTTCGACGTCCAGTCAGAAATTGTCGTTGGACACTAAAAATCCCAGGATGATGGATGAGAGGCATCTGCTCATCATGATGGAGAACTTCTCCAAGAATCGTACAGATAGGAAATGGAGTACGAATAAAAAGGAGTTAGAGAGGTATATAAGGCTGTTTGAACCGGTCGTTATTCAGTCTTTAAAGGTGAGTTTGTTTTTGGATACTTTTGATTGCTTTGAATAAAGACTCCCCCATAATAGTTTTCCTCAAATGTCTTCCATGTGCAGACAACGATCAGTTACACTTTTATTATATATATATATATATATATATATATATATATATATATAAACTGCCTCGGTGGTGTAGTGGCTAGTATGTACGGCTACACACCGGAGGTCCTGGGTTCGAGTCCCGGGTCGGGCCAAGTTTAGTTATTGAGTCTTTCTGTATATTAAGTCTCAGTAACAGCCCGGAGTTGGGAAGTTGGCGGTGTTTCACCCCCGTGCCTCGGAGAGCACGTAAAGCGGTCCTGCGCCTTAACTCTCACTGGTCGTGTCGAGCAGTCGTCCCACCAGAGTACGAGAGTGACAGGAATAGAGAGTGCACTTGAGTCTGCGCCGTACACTTGTGCACTATAATATCTCCTGCGCAGTTGGCTAGTCTCAATGAGATTGGCCGCCGTGGCCGGAATCGGTCAGGAGAACATCAATATATATATATAAATGGATGAACAAACAAACAGAAACAAGAATTGCTTATTTAATATTATAAAACATATTTGAGAATAAAAAACCTGTACTCAATAAGTCCACCTGTTCCAGAGCTACACGATGCAGAACGACATCCCGCTGCAGTGCACGGTGCTGCGGCTGCTGTGCCAGCTGCTGGCGCTGCGCGTCAACTACTGCATGCTGGACAGCGACCAGGTCTTCATCGGCTTCCTCATGCGCCAGCTCGAGCTGGTCGAGCAGCATGAGATACCGTGAGTGGATATGGCTCTTGGATCATTGGTGTTTTAAATAAAATATTCGTGGGTAGGCATTTTCTATAACAACTATATAATGACCTTTGAGACGTTTAAAACCTTAGCCTCTTCCGTGACCATGATTGCCGTAAATCATTCGAAACGTCGGGAACCAAAAATCAATATAGCCTATATGTTATTCTTATGTGTAAATTATATAACTAAAAAGTTTCGTCAAAATCTGTATCGTAGTTTTTGCGTGATACAGTAACAAACAGACATCCATATATCCTCACAAACTTTCGCGTTTATAATATTATATAGTTAGTTTTTGTAATATTATACAGTTAACAATAGATTTTTTAGAAATTTACTTGGAGGTGTTGATAGAGATAATTATGTACTCCAGACCTGTTTTGTTATAGTTTAACACTTAAATTGTATTATTTGCATGACGGATTTACCCGACTATGACAAAGCTAAAAGGGCATCGATAAAAAAAGTTCTAGATACACAAGCCCATGCAAAACTTCTCTTAAAACTGTCACCAATTGTGTTTAGGTAATTATTCTACTTGAAATAAATATACCACGTAAATGGAACCTTAAATGGAATGCTTAAAGTTGTTTTCCAAAAAAAAAAAAACATTAAAAGGGCGCTCAAATGTTGAAGTGTGCGCTCATTCAGTGAGAACATTTTTCTGTCGCTGATTGTGTATCTAGTACTATTTTGATCGATGCAAAAGGGTTATTATTTAATAATGTATATATGTATCTTCTAAACTATCCATCATATATCAAAATTAAACTTATTATATTATAAAATTAATATACAAATCTATTGAATTTAATATTTTATCTTTTAGGAATTGCTGCGACCTCGTGAATAGTATATTACAATTTCTAGTTCAACTATCGTCCTCCAAACACCACACGAAGCAAATCATTGAAATACCAAAAGTAAGCATTTTATTTCATTTGTATGGGAAAATATATGATGAGTATGACTATGTTTAATGCCCGACACAAAAAGAAGAATTATATGTATGTATATTATTTATGTATAGTCGATTATTATATTTTAATTGCATCATTGTTGATCTTATAGCAAAAAGGGTTTCTGGAAGAAATCTCTTTAAGAGATAAGTTATCCTTTGTCGACATTCTATTACTTTATTTTGTACTAGCGACTCACCCTTGCTTCGCTCGGGTTCGTCCTTAGCTTGCTTCCCAATACAAACTTTCATCTGCATTTTCACTCCCTTAAGGGTTGATTTCTGGGATAAAAACTATCCTGTGTCCTTCCCAAGGTCTGAAACTATTTTCTTACGAAATTTCACCTAAATCGGTTCAGTAGTTTCAGAGCGTATTCAGTACAAACAAACAAACAATCAAATCATTCCTCTTTATAATATTAGTATAGATAACATATATTTACTATATATGTATGTATATCGATTGTTCGAATAATCGAAGGTGCTGGTTCATATTATTTTTCTTGTTTACTTTTAACTTTTTTCCCAGTTAATACAGCTGTGTGACGGTCTGATGGCGTCCGGGGCGCAGGACGAGTGTATAGCGGGACTGGAGCCGGTCGCGGTGAGGGTGTTCAGTAATATGGGTGGTACGTGTTACACTTTACGTTACTATAATGAATGAGAAAGTTCGTGTGTGTGTGTGTGTTTGTGCGTGTGTGTATAAACATACAGTACAGTAATAAACATTACTCGTTAGGCTGGACGAATTTTAATAAAATTAAGTACATAGATAGATTTTGACCTGGAGTAATAAATAGATTGCTGGAAGTATTATAAATTGTTAATAGGTGGCGCTGGCTGTATATTATAAATACTAAAGGAATTCACGTACGCACTCGAGCAAACTACTATGCTAGTATATATATATATATATATATATATATATATATATATATATATATATATATATATATATATATATATATATATATATATATATATATATATATATATATATATATATATATATAGGTATATATATATTAGTTTGAAATTATTCAAGGTTTCAAGTAATTTTGTTATGAATATGTTAAAAATAATGTATGTACACAACAAATAAAGTGAAAATTAATATTTTTATTAATTAAATATCCGTTCTTTTTCCAGTTATATCTTAAATTTGGTTTTATATTTAGAAAAAGAATAAAACTTTTATTAGATGATCGAAATAATTCGCCCTAAGTTTAGTATGAATGTAAGTTTAATATAGAATATTAATATGTCTTTTTATGTATCTAGGTGGTACTGTGTTAGGCAGAGCCCAGCAGCAAGAAGCTCAGGCGACTAGGGAAGTTTTGTTTTATATGTTACAGAAAACTATGCATCAGCCGAAAGTGAGTGAACTTTGTATTAAAATCAATTCTTCTATTGCAATACCATGTTTTTATATATAATATTTTTCTCAATTTTTTTAATAACATTTTTTTCTATAACTAGCGACTCACCCTCGCTCCGCTCGGATTCGTCTCTACTTACATTTTAACGTTTACTAAAGAACTCAGATATGAGATTTTTTCCTGCAGTAAAAAGTATCCTATATGTTGGCCCCGATTAGTTTATCATCATACCAAATTTCATCCTAGTCAAAAAAAACAGACAGACAAAAATTCTCATAACTATACATTTGGCTTCTGAAAAATAATAATAACTATTTCAATAAGATTTTCCAAAAAATATGTATGGTACAGATTCGACTCAGAATTTTATTATATGTAGAAATAAATTGTTCTAGCTTTAAGGCAGCTATTGTTATTTCGAACTTAATTAAATTAAATCTATCTCTTTCTCTCTTACACCAGGTACTAGAACTAGTATCGTGCGTTCTCTCTCTCTCACAAGAGCATCCAGAGAGCTACTACCGTTGGTCCGAACTCGCAAGCGACACGCTTCTAAATCTACTAAGTGAGAGAAGTATAGAATGCGACACGATACTCGCAGTGAAGTCGCTCGAGAAACTTCTACACTCTTTGTATCGAGATGTGTTGTTGGAACAAACAAGAGTAGAGGTATTGTTGAAGATACTGTTCAAAGCTCCGCCTGATCAGGTGAGTTGTGTTATATGAATGTGAAAGTGAAATAAAATAGATGATTAGATTTGTGTGACTATTTGTTTTTTTTTAATATTTTGCGGTTTTATTTGGTTGGTTTTACAGTAGATTTGGTCACGATAGAGATTGTTTTTTTTTAAATTTTGATGTACTGTGGTGCTTTTGTGCACGGTAAGATTTTGCTGTATGACAATTTGCTCGTTGTTTTTTTGCAAGATAATGCTAAATTCATTGTTTAGAATAGATTTTTTTATATTAACCATAAGTATTACAAAAGGTTTTTTTAAAATTTATATATGATTTTATTATAAATTAAATATTTTATTTTTAATTTCAGCAAACAACACCAAGGAAATTGAAGTTACGATATCTAACAATAGTAATGGTGTTGTTACGTAAAGTCCTTATTCTGATACCCGAGACGGAAATACTTCTCTCAATAAACTACCTAAAATCGACCTGTATATCGCCTCAGTCGATATTTTTCAACGTGAAACCTAACGTAGACCCCCTAAATGTTCAGAATGTGAACGAAAATTGCGCAAATTTATCACCAGATGTGATTCTAGTCAGGTTTCTATTCAAGACTTTGACGTATGCGATAATGGAATTAGATGATTTTCAAGCGACAATAGACGTTAATGACGATGACGATAAGGATCAGAATAGATTGTTGTACGCTGTGTGTGTTAATATTATAATTCAAGCCAAGTTTATGTTACATTTGACAAGTGAGTATTTTTAAAGTAATTATTTCTTTTTCTTACTAGTAACATCTCTTTTCGCTTATATATATATATATATATATATATATATATATATATATATGTATAGGTAGCTCCACCTGTTGCAAATTTTATTACTAGCAGTAGCCCACGTGTTAATCAAGGTCATGGTCTTTCTGTGTACTAAAATTCATCGGAATTTGTCTTGTTGATTTTTGTTTTTTTATTATTCTTATATTTCACGTTAATGACAGATATTTATTTCAGTATATCCGAACCATTTCTTTTGAAGGCTATTATCATCTCTAAGTATGAGATAAATACATATGAAGTTAATTTAAAGAAGTAGTCTCAATAGTTTTTTAGGATATGAGCTTATATTTTATTCGAATTCCTATAACGAATACATAGACTTAGATACGTTCCCATTTGAAATACTACTTATCCTTGCTTCGCTACTAATTGTCGTGCACTCTCTGTTCCTGTCACTCTCATACTCCGGGGGGGGGGGGGGGGGGGCGCGAGACACGACCAGTGAGAGTGTCGGCGCAGGACCGACGGCTTTACGTGCTCTCCGAGGCACGGGGGTGAAGCACCGCCAACTTCCCAACTCCGGGCTGTTACTGAGGCTTACTATACAGAAAGACTCGATAACTAAACTTGACCCGACCTGGACTCGAACCCAGGACCTCCGGGTGTGCAGCCATACATGCTAGTCACTACACCTCCGAGGTAGTTTATAATATTAGTAGTATAGTAGGATTAGTATAATATTATTTTATAATCATTCCAGACGGCTGTCTCTTCCCTCTAACAGCTAAAACAGCACAAACAATACTCCACAACGAGCAGAGTGGCCTCAACACAGGTCTATACAGTCCCGAAGAGAACATACCGTTGGATAACCTCAACTTGATATGTTTGAAGTCGGCAAATCGAATACCATTGTTGACTGTCCATTGGTCGCATTTGTTGATTAGGTTAGTTCATTGGGTTTTAATATGTGTATGTGTCAAATATTGATATAAAAAACTCAAAATACACAATAGGGAATATGCGTGATTTTTTTGGGATTTTTTAAACAATAGCTGACATCGTTATATAATTGTAAAAAAAATATCCAGTTCCAAAAAAATATATATCATACCGATTAGGATACTTTAAGCACCTGCCATTTCGCGTGCTTGGTGTGACGTCACAGTATGATATACACAGGAATGCAAACTCAATTTGTACCGACAAAATCGCTCTGTTATGATAACACTTTGACGTTATATTCGGTTTGACCAATGGCGTTTGTTAAGTAGTTGAACTACTTTGAATTTCCCACCTATATTTGCACTTTTTAATAAAAAATTTGTTATAAAAAACATACACAAAAATATTGATAAAGGCTTTATATAAAAGCAATAAATATTATGAAAAATAATCTCCTCTGTTTAAATATATTATTTCTATTGTTGAAATGAATCTAAAATAATCTTTTTAAAAAAACCTCTAATAACACGACCGCGTTGAGATTCAAAAAGAATTGTATAATTGTAAAACTATTGTAACGGTTTATGTAGATGATTTCTTTATATTTTCTAATGATAAAAAGGAATCTTATCTCAAGGATCTCTATCATGTCAAGGATGATATCTCAAGGAGATGTTGTCAAGTCGGTTTAAAATAAAAGACTTAGGACAAGTGAAGCAATGTCTAGGGATGGATGTTAGGTTCAATAAGTTAGAAGGATCTGTCACCTTAAGTCTAGAACATTATATTGATAGTTTGTTGCATACATTTAACTTGACAGATTGCAAATCTTTTGATACTCCAATGGAGCATAAATTGAATGTAAACATAGGTCAAAATGTAAATAATAAAGTACTTTATCAACAACTTATAGGTAGCCTTATGTACTTATCTGTCTTAACCAGACAAGATATAACTTACTCAGTTAGTTATCTAAGTCAATATAATAATTGTCATACACATGAGCATTGGGGTTATGCAAAGAGAGTGTTGAAATATTTGAAAAAGACTAAATCTTATGGTATTAAGTATTGTAATAATGGAATTTCAAATATAGAAGGTTTTGTGGATGCCGATTGGGCAAATAATACAATAGACAGGCGGTCTTATACCGGATTTTGTTTCTTATTGTCTAATGGTGTTATATCTTGGGAATGTAAAAAACAAAAGACTGTAGCCTTATCAAGTTGTGAAGCTGAGTATATAGAAATTTCTGAAGCTTGTAAAGAAGCAATATACTTAAGGGCTTTGCAATTCGAAATAACTAATAAAATGTACACTTTAACATTATATAATGACAATCAGAGCACACAGAAGTTGTCGACAAATCCAGTATTTCACAAGAAATCTAAACACATTGATGTGAAATATCATTTTACTAGAGAATGTGTTTCAAATAATATAGTAAATTTACAATATTTGCCTACAACAAACATGCCCGCTGATTTGTTAACAAAAAGTCTATGTAAGAATAAACATTATATGTTTATGGAAATGTTAGGTGTTGTTAATGTGTAAAATGTTTATATGATTATTTGAGATAGTGGGGGTGTTGAAATAAATCTAAAATAATCTTTTTATGTATAAAACAGTGACCTCTGCTTTCATATGTTCTAAATTGTAATATTTGCTAAATTATCTGTAGTATAGTATTATATGATCTGTAGTCATATCATTGGTAGATTATCTGTGCCGTGTCTATTAGATTAATACAGTGCTTTTTGAATCTCAACGCGGTCGTGTTATTAGATCCCCTATATTCCCTATTAGCGTCTCAAAAGTGCCAAAAAGAAGCGCACAAGTCGAAATTGTGCGTTTTTTTTTCAAATTTCTAACTACATTTATCACTTTTTTTTGAGAGTTCCCGTTATTTCAGCACTTTTACATCCATGTACGGGTATGCTCGTGACCATGGTGCTTGTAACAATGTTTTACACATAATCATATTATCAATGACCATGAAAGTTTAAAGTTTGGCTCAGTTTGTAGTGATCCTACTCGCTGTGCCGGCGTTCGCGGGTTCGAGTCCCGCTGGCATTTATTTGTGTGATGAGCACGAATGTTTGTACTCCAGTCATGGGTGTTTATATTTATTATAAATATGTATTTAATAGTTATATTATGTGTAGTGTATCAACTATCTGGTATCCATAACACAAGCCTCGTAGCTTGCCATGGAACTAGATGGCGCTGTGTGTTAATGTCCCAACATATTTATTTAACACGTATTCCAGACTAAACTTCCTGTCGCACAAGTACTGGCAGAAGCTAATAGGTTTCGCACGCAATCTCCCTCTGAGTGCAGACAGCGGGGACACCACGCTACTACGAGTGGATGTGCTACAAACTGCCTGTGTTATGGCCTATTGCGAATATTTTGTAAGTTTTTAACTGAGTTTTATAATATTTTTTTCCATTTTTTACAAATTATTATTCTATAACTTTGTGGGTTGATACTGTCTGTCACAACTACATAATAGCCTTTGAGACGTCTAAAATCTTAGTCTGTCCTAGCAATTATAGTTACGGAAAGACTAAGGTTTTAGACGTCTCAAAGATCATTATAATATACTTCTTACAGACAGCACCTTCCCACAAAATTAAAAAATGATTTCAAAAATACATAAATGTACACCAAGGTATGTTACGATATTTGTTAATTTTATTTTTTTGAAAATCCCAAAAAACAATGTAAAGCTTTCGAAACTTCGGAAACCAACAGTCACAATAAATTCTCAAAAAAAAATATTCGAAAATATATTTTTAGATCTATACCAATATTATAGAGAGGAAAGATTTATTTTTTGTTTGTTTGTGTATATAGAATAGGCTCCGAAACTATTGAATTGATTGACTGGAAAAATATATGATTGACTGGAAAAATATATGATAGTTTTTATCCCAGAAATCATCCCTTAAGGGGGTGAAAATGGGAATGAAAGTGTATATGATAGCAACCTAAATAGCTTAACGTGTATCATTTATTTATATTATATATACACACAGGTGGACAACGGTATCTCGGAGGCCGTGCACCTGACGTGGCTGCTCGTGAACCGCGTGCACGTGCTGGTGGCGCAGTGCGGCGAGGCGGGCGTGCGTGCGCTGGCGGCCCGCGTGCAGCGCGCGCCCGCCGCCTCCGCGCTGCTGCTTCAGGCCGTCGCCGCCCGCTGTCAGAGCTGCTTGAAGGTGCGTGACGTGACGAATTATGTGTTTTTTTTGACGACTAGTTTGACTCAGTTTGTAGTGTTTGTAGTGTTTCCCAGTACACATTGCTGTGCTATTGAAGCATGCTCTTTTCGTTTTAAATTTAAGTTCGCTAAAAGTCGCTTTTTTCACTTTGATTGGATTTTAAAGAATGTTTCCAGGCATGTATGACAAAATGAATATTCCCATTCAAAAGCCGAATTTTTTTCTATAAAAACTAAAAGATATAGTTTCCTAATTAAAAAAGAGTTTTTTAAGCCAAAAAAATTGATGAAAAAATTAAAAAAACAACTTTACAGAATTTCAAAAATACATAACTTCGAAATTGTTGAATATTAAGAGCTAAAACTTTCAGGATTTTTTTTTCTCAAAGTAGGCAACCCTTGCGCCGAATTTGAAAAAAATATTTTATTTGGTGGAGTGGTCCACATGTATACTAGTTGTCTGGTCAAGAACTACTGATAAAAACCTTTTTCAAACAATTTTAAATTTAATATATTTTTTGGTAATGAATTATAATAGTGGATATTCATGTGACTAAAATATAGGTGAAATATTTTTTTTTATAATCCTTATTGCCTTTAACTGCCTCGGTGGTGTAGTGGCTAGCATGTACGGCTGCACACCCGGAGGTCCTGGGTTCGAGTCCCGGGTCGGGCCAAGTTTAGTTATTAAGTCTTTCTGTATAGAAAGTCTCAGTAACAGCCCGGAGTTGGGAAGTTGGCGGTGTTTCACCCCCGTGCCTCGGAGAGCACGTAAAGCCGTCGGTCCTGCGCCTTAACTCTCACCGGTCGTGTCGAGTGGTCGTCCCACCGGAGTATGAGAGTGATAGGAATAGAGAGTGCACTTGTGTCTGCGCGTACACTTGAGCACTATAATATCTCCTGCGCAGTTGGCTAATCTCAATGAGATTGGCCGCCGTAGCCGGAATCGGCTAGGAGAACATCATTGCCTTTGAATTAAACCAATATTAATATTTTTTACCTAATGTTTTTTGGACGTCACGCCAAGCGCGCGAAATGGCGAGCTTTTAAAGTATCCTTATCTTTATGATATTTAAAAAAATATACTAAAATTTATTTTTTTGGAGCTGGAGATTTTTTTACAATTTTATAACGATGTAATCTATTTTATAAAAATAAAAAAAATCACGCATATTTCTCGTCCTGCAAAGTTAACTAAAATAGTTTATATATTATATTACATATACTTACTTATGTATGTATACAGAAACAATTATTTGCTTCAATCGTTTCTTTTGTTATTTCAGGATGAATTCGCTCTAAACACATACAAAATACTCTCATTGTGTCATGAGAGTCAGTCCGGTGCTTTGGTGTTTTTCATATGTCGTGTTATAGGGAAATTAGAGCCCGCCATTGCGACTAGGTAATGTATACAATAAGATAATTATTAACCGACTTTAAATAACGTATAAAATTTTAAGAATTTAAATAATAAAATATAAATTGTTTATTTTTGCCTGGAATAAAATAAAAATTAAACTTAAAAAAAAACAAAACTTAAAAAAAACAAAACTTAAAGAATAAAATATGAAAAGTTTATTTTTTGTCTGCAGTCTGATATAATTTGGGATGTCTTTAAACTTTATACTTAAATTTTTTAGGGTACTGTACCTTAAAAGGAAAAATAGAAGTTATACAATCACGTGTGTGTTTGTTTGTATGTATTTTTCTCTGACTCTAATGAAAAGATAAAGTTGAAAAGCGCATATACAGAGTAATATATCACTATGTTAAATATGTTTATATTCATTTTGAGGGTCACTTGTTGCTGGTATGTTACATTAAAAATAAAGTTTTATCAAGTGTCAAATTAAAAAAAAATACAATTGGCTGAAGCTCTATATACATATATAGAGGAAAACAACGAAAACTAACTTTATAATTCTTTTAATTTTTTTAGCTTACTCTCTCTTTCTCTCTATCCTATAAGTCTGCTTTGCATTCGACGAATTTCATGTTATAAATAATATTATATACTTTGTATTATACAGATTCTCAAAATTAGCGATAGACCGATGTAGATTATTAAAAGAAATGTCACCAGAAGCCATCAACTCGCAACTATCCAAAGAAGACGTGCAAGTTGCATTGGAGTTGTTACAGAGGGACAAGGTTCATATACGGTGAGATTATGGTTTTTAATTTATTCGTTTATTTATTTATTAGTTTATTCTATTTATTTGTTTATTTATTTACTCGTTTAATTAATTTATAGAATTATCAACAAATTTACAATATTAAAAAATAAATTATCTGATATATATCTTAACATGATAATTGCACTTTTAATGGCAGGTAATAGCTGATAATTATTATTTACGTTTTTTTTTATCATGTGGTATAACTATTACATATAAATGAACACGATACAATAAAATCGATCATTTCACAATTACAACTAACAACTAACTAAATTACAAAATCACGTAAATGTATATAAAGCACTTTGTATATATATATATATATATATATATATATATATATAAAATAGTAATAATACTAATATATAATTAATAGATAGACAAGCGTCCAAAAAAAATGTTTTTTAACTAAAGGAACTTTCGAAGCCGTAGACAGGATAACCCACCAGAGTTTCATCACAATCGGATCAATCGTTTAGGAGCGCATAGAGGATAAACATACGAACAAAAGTATCCTAATGTTGGCCCGGATAACCAGCTATCATCATATTAAATTTCATCAAAATCTGTCTAGTCGTTTTCTCACGATGCGTTCCCAGACAGACAAACAAAAATTTTAAAAACTATAGATTCTGCCTCTATATCGATAATAATGACAATTTCAATAAAATTTTCAAAAAATATTTAATGTACAGATTCGGCTCAGAATTTTGTTATATGTATAGATATACAGTTATTATAAGCTTATTTTATTTTCAGATATTCAAAGCTGGTGATGGAATTGAATGCGTTAGCGTCTTCAGTGTTTGATTTGTCGCCTTTAGATCTATCTCAGGATAGATCGATCAATTCACATTATATAATCACTACCAATGTTGACAGCCACTGGTTGCTCAATCAAATAAAGAGCAGGTACGTGAGTTTTTAATAGGTTTTTTATATAATATGTAATATTATGTAATAAGTAATAAGTATGTAAATATTTCCAACATGATTACCACTATTCTTACGGTGAAGGAAAACATTGTGAGGAAACCTGTATGTCTGAGAGAACCTAACAGTTTACATAAAACTATCCTTTTCGATTTTTTCGCAGATTTATTTTTGATTTTTCGTATCCATCCATTTTTGGTTGGGAGTCAAAAATTAAAATAAATCAGTGAAAAAAAATATCTGAAATGATAGTTTTATTTGAAATGTCAAATTTCTCGATAAACTAAGGACCTCGTACTTCTCCAGCGTGGTAGATTATACCCTGCTTCCCTTTTTAAGGAGGCCCGTGCCCAGCAGTGGGACGTAAAATAAATGAACAATTATTATTATGAATTATTATAAAAGAAGGATTCCTACTAATGAAAAACCCATATGTGAATTGACTATAAAAACTGACTTTTTTTCGTACAGATGCTGTCAAACAGATTGTAACATACCAAAGATATCGAAACACAAAGATTTAGCTCAATCTCTATCTAATTTGTCAATAGAGGATCTCACTACAATTATGTCTTGTTCAGAGTTCGACAGGAAAATACTGAGTGCATGTTTTAAGATATCCTGCGATGATTTCACTAGAGCCTTTCTAAATAGTATATCAGAAATAGAATTGAGAGAGAGTGAGTTAGAGTTGCTAAGAGAACAAAGGGAGATGGAGAGAGTTAGAGAAGAAACGTCGGTTGATAGTAATAAATTGAACGTTACAAATTTACACGTTTTCAAGAAAAGTGATAACAAAGAGTCGAAATCCCAATTTTTCATTCCAATAATGGATAACGACGTTCAAGAGAAATTTGGGAATTTACATATTTCGGAGGAGGATACGGAAATTGTGGTGCCGGATATGCCGAAATTGTATCAAGTGTCGATATCGACTTTGGACAAATCGATTACGGATGTTCTAAGACTGTTTCCCAAACAAAATAGACCGTTGAGTCAATCGGAAAATTTTAATTTGAATTCTGAACAAACAGTGGACAGATATACGAAGAGATGTCACCAAGTGTTCCAAGACAAATTGTTTTACCAAGAATTTATGACGATTCAAACTATATTATCTGGTTTCCTCACTAATGTGGAACGAATTGTGTCGTTAATCGACGACACAGATTGTGATTTAATCGAGAAATGTATAGAAAATATAATACCTAATACGCTAGCTCGTAATATAGCTGTATTCTCCGTGGTTTCACTGCAATATTTGTCGTTTATAATTAAAAATAAGAAAATTGTTGAAAGTCCCATACCGGCTGACGTTTCCTTTCGTGTCACAAATGTCTCCACAGATAATATATGTGTGGATCACGTGATATTAGTGACCATAGACAATGTGGCAAAAGCCCTGGATTTTAAGGAAATCTGGTCGGAATTAAATGTTGAGAGTAACTTTAATAGAACTCAATCGGCCATCAGTTGTTTGTATGCGATCGTGAAGTATTTAGTTAAGGTGAGTTAAGTAAAAAATGTTAATGTTAGTAATAAAAGTATATTGTCCTCGCTTCTCCATACAAACTATCATCCCTATTTTCACCCACTTAAGGGGTGATTTCCGGGATAAAAACTATATTATGTCCTTCCCAGGGTCTTAAACTGTCTTCTTACCAAATTTCATCTTAATTCGTCCAGAAGTTTCGGAGCCTATTCAGTACAAACAAACAAATTTTTCCTCTTTATAATATTAATAGAGATTAACTTATTTCACAAAATCCACAACTAAATCATTTCATAAATAATAAAAAGATGATATCTTAATTTAGTTTTTTTTAATATTAAAGCCTACAATTGGATTAAAATCCCTATTATATAAACATTTTTCAGGATACGAAACCCCTAATACTGAAAACGTTTATGAAACTACAAGAGCCAGGTCCGACACCAGATATAATAATTACTGGTAATAAGCTAGCAACACTTGTGGCATTTTGGGAAGAAAACTTCTATATGAAGGGCAACACTTATATACTAGGGAAACGATACATGCGAGCCATTGAGAGTCTGCTCATCAGTTTATCTAAGTAATTTACTCGATTTTGTATGATTTTTCTAATATATTTATTAAGTTTTAAGTATTTTTTTTAAGCTAGTACATATTTTTTTTTATCTTCAAAAAAATTTGGTCTTGGATTTTTTTTATTTAAATAAAAGTATATTAGTGTCTGCAAAAAAAAATTATTTTTTTTGTTTTAAAAAAATATGTGTTTAGAAATGAGTATGATGTGAGGAGGTTTATTTCCATAAATATGTTTTATTAAGCAAAGATAAATAACAAGGTGTGATGCTTGATTTATGCACAAATTATTTAGAAACTAAATACGAGCATAAATTTAAAATCTTTTGCTGATCTATTATATTTATTCATATTGTTAAAAAACCTAATATTAAAAGCTTAAACTTCACCATTTTAATTTATATAAAACTAGCGACTCACCCTCGCTCCGCTCGGATTCGTCCTTACTTCCGTTTTAAGGCTTAGTATAGATTTCTCAGAAATGAGATATTTTTCGCAGTAAAAAGTATCCTATATGTTATCAACACTCGGATAATCGTCTATCATCATACCAAATTTCATCAAAATCTGTAAAGTGATTTTCTCGTGATGCGTTCTCAGACAGACAAAAATTCTAATAACTATAGATTAGGTCTCTGTATATATTATAATGATTATTTGGATTAGATTTTTCAAATAATACTTAATGTACAGATTCAATTTTATTATATGTATAGAAATTTTTTTTTTTAATTTAACAGATTAGAGTTAGTGACAAATATAGCACTAATACCGCCCATTGCGTGGTCCTGTGTCGAAGTTAGGACGAAGAAGGAGGAACTAGAAAAGATAGACTTACCGCTGCAAGCTCTGCAAGATTTGGACGTTTTAGAGGCGTTTTTGTTTAGGTGAGTATGAAGTGACGTGATTGTGTTGACGTCAATATGACGACACTTTTTATATTTTTACTTGCATTTTAACGTTTAGTAAAGATTTTTTAAGGATGAGATATTTTCCCGCAGCAAAAAGTATCCTATACGTTGTTCCGGATAACCAGCTATCATCATACCGAATTTCATCAAAATCTGTCTAGTGATTTTCTCGTGATGCGGTGACAGAAAGACAGACAGACATACAAAAATAGTAAAAACTATAGGTATGGCTTCTGTATCGATAATAATGACCATTTCAATAAGATTCTTTAAAAAAAATTTAATGTACAGATTCGACTCAGAATTTTATTATATGTATAGTTAACAATAACATCTAAAGCCACTTAATTTCGAAACATTTTGCCTTTAAGAGAAAAACTATCTTTTCGGTTATTCCGTATTTTCCTTTTAGATTTTTTGTTATTAACGTTTTGAATGCTTTTAGCAATCACGATCAAGGAAGTGTGATAGTTGTAAAGCATTTGAAACGTAAACTAAATATCATAATAAATCCGCGAAAAGATGTTTCATTTAAAGTGTTAAATATTCACACGTAAACAGTAAAATTATGCTGTTTGGTAGAAATGCTATTTCCCAACAATATAAAAATGCCATACCCAAATATGGTAAAAATGCTATTTCCACCACTACCCGTCATTCTCAATTGAAAATATCAAATATTGTGAATAAGTGCGTAAATATGAAGTGAAAAACATTTTAAATGAATAATAAATAAATATTGAATATATAATATTTATTTAACTATAAATAAATAATGTGCAATCTATATGGCAAGATAATATAAACTAATGAACGAAGTTAATAACACTCATTATAATCGCCTGAAGAAACAATAATAAAGTGTGAAAAGTCGCGTAAAACAGTTATTAATTAACCAAAAGTGAACTTAAACATCCTCTGATATATAAGCTTATGTACGTCACAATTGCAGAGTGAACATGACTGGGTGGTCCAACAAGAAGCAGTACGAGGAGGTGTGGGTGGGGCTGCTGGCGGCGCTGCAGGGCAACGGCGCGCACTGGGCCGTGGCCGGCATCACGCAGCTGCTGGCGCGCGCCGCCGGCGCCCGACACGTGCCGCGCACCGCCGCGCCGCACACGAGGGGGTATGTACTTGGATGTGGTGGGAAACCTCAGTCTATTTCCGGTTAAATTTCCGGGTAGTAATTTCACTAGTGAAATTATATTCTAACGGTTTTTACAATTTCCCTGCGACATATCCACTGTTGAACGAAGGTCTCTCCAATACCAATAGCGTAGTATATAATATTATTAACTTATTACATACATAAAATGTACGTGTGGTGCGATATAGTACTAGGCATGTAACCAGTGTACAATTTAGCACTTTTGAACCTCCCACTGCTCTGTCCGAAGATCCCTTAAAGATTATGAGGGATATCAAACCTAATCCACCATACAGTCCAAGTGTGAGTGTCGGCGAACTACACATGTTTTACAAAAATGAAAATTCTCTCAGACGGACGTGCAGATTTCCTCACGATATTTTCCTTCACTGTAGCTAGTAATTACGTTTAAAATTATGTGTACATGAAAATATCTAAAATATGAGACTCGGGATTTGAACCCACATCACTTTTGGTTGACTTAGGGTTTTTAAGCGAACGCGTTGCCACTGCTGTACGAAACAACACTTTTTAAAATTTCATTCATTTAACTATTGCATTTTGATTGGAGTAACAAATAAACTTTTTTTTGTATGTTAATGTAATGCAAAACTTAATACAATGCTTATATTTTTAGAATGCATCGACTTCGAAACATTCTGGTGGGAACATCGGCATACAATGACATATTCGAAGACGTGAATCTGGAACGAGTACCTTTAATTAAAGACGGCCATTGCGGATTCCATTTCGGCCAGTTTAGTACTGAGTATTTGAAATATGCTTCAGGTGAGTTTGAACTATATCGTTATCTATGCAAATAAATAAAATTGAAGTGTCTGTTTGTAATGTCAAAATAACAGCTTTTTACTAAATGCAAATAAGAGTATATACGGTATTTATAAAAAAAGTCAATTTTTGAAATTTGTATCTGTCTGATTGTTCCGGTTAATCTCCGAATCGGCTAGACCGATTTTGACGGGACTTTCACTGCCAGATAAATGATGCTATAAGGAGTAACGTAGGAATAACTACTTTTATTTTAGAAAAAGAATTAGGGATCCGCGCAAAAAAATTGAAACCCATGAAATTGTGAACAAAAGGACGCGTACACAATGACGCAACCGAGCGAAGCGAGGTTAAATGGCTAGTTTAAAATAGAGTTGCCAATTGTTTTGTATTGATTGATATTAGTAGTCTTATTATTTATTGTTAGCTATTTAACCTTTCTTCGTTCGGGTGCATCTCTGTACGAGATCAATACAGGAAGCACAACTTTTACGAAATTTGATTACTAATAAAATTTGGCAAAACTTAGGCTACTTTTATTTTAGATAAAGTATTAGGGTTCCGCGCAAAAAAAAACTATGTTGTACGTAAAATAGGTAGATTATATGTTATCTTATGTCTACTCTATCTGTATATTAAATTACATTCAAATACTAAATTTCATTGGCATAAAGGCGTTGATCTCTGGTAACGAAATTAAAATATTTTAAATATTACGTATAATACTAAAGAATATTTAAAAAAAAAAAGGTTTTACAAATAACATTATGTTAAATACTATTAATTATTTATTTATAGATATGATTGATGAAGCCTCGTACAGAGTGCGCAAGGAAGTGAAACGTAAGCGGAAGAATAAAGAAATAGATGTGAATAGCTGTTTGCAGTTGTTGATGGACGTCACTACTGACATGTTGGATCCTAAGGTTTTATTTTGTTTTATTTTCAGTAAATAAAAAAAGGAATTAAATTTCAAATATTTAGGGCAGTTGGAATCTTTAAATTAAATTGACAATTCAAAATTGCTTTGACTACTGAAAAAAGACCTGAGCAGATTGATTGATTGAATGAATAAATCATTCATTGATTGATTATGTGAATAAATGAATGATCAATTGACATTATTCGCATGCATCCACGGATAGCGGGCCGCGTGGCGCTCATCAAGCTGCTGAGCTATATAAATTTCTTAATGTCAATTTAATAGAAATTTATGATTAATATAAATTTCTATTAAATTGACAATTTATAAGTGCTTGTATAAGTTCACTTGAATAAAAAAATCATTTCACTGCTGTACGAAGGCCTCTAGTGAGCGCCAATCATCCCTTAATCAATCCGCACAGGATCGCCCTAGTGGGATTGATTGATTGATTGAATGAATGATCGATCGATCGATATAAATTACCAGGCGTCCACGGGCATAGCGGCCCGCGTGGCGCTCATCAAGCTGCTGAGCTACTCTTCGTGCGCGATGTCCTCGCGCGCGCAGTGGGGCGCGCTGGGCGCTGCGCTGGCCGCGCCGCAGAGCCCGCTGGCGGCCGCGGCCGCGCTGCAGGCGCTGGTGGCGAGCTTGCCCGTGCTCAGCTATGCGAAGGTTCGTGTGTTTGTATTCACTTCACCACATATTATAAAAAAGGTCCTCCGCCGCCCATACCCAATATTTTTAGGGAATTTCAAATAAACTGTGGTCTTATTATTTTGATATACCAACTTTACTAAAACTCGTATTTTCTCATAATTGAGTTTTTGTGATTGCATCTATTTTGAATAACTACGTCCAGTGGTTCTTCGAGCCGAAGTTACAATAGTACAATAATCGTTGTGCGCAGGAGCTGTCGACTATCCAGGAGCGCCTGGAGCGGTCGCTGTCGGGGCGCGGCGCGGCGGTGCGCGTGGCGGCGCTGCGCGGCTGGCTGCTGCTGCTGGCGCGCCGTGGCCCCGACCCCGCGCCGCTGCGCGCGCGCCTGCGCGACCTGCCCGCCGCCGCCGCGCCCGCGCTCGGGTACATACACAGGCAGACACACATATTGTATACATACTAGCGGCTCGTTCACCTCTAGACAAACGAAAACAATTCTATCCCAAGGGAACCGTGCCTTTTTTCCAGGATAAAAAATAACCTGTTTATTATTCTGATGTATGAACATGTATATTATTGTAAAGTTTCATTACAATCCAATCAGTACTTTTTGTGTACTAAGCTGTATAAGTTACTGTAGTTTTTAACTGTCCCACGGAAACTCTTTAATTTTCCGGGATAAAAAGTATTTAAAATATTGTCCGGGGATATAAGTAGTAAGTACCACTATGCAAAATTTCATTTAAATCGGTCCAACAGTTTCGGAGATTAGCCCGAACAAATAGACAGAGAAACAAAAAAATTGAAAAAATCTGGATTTATTCTATTTCTCTTCTTACATCCTCCTGACTCGATTTTTAACCTTTTTTTCTACGTACAGACATCCGACCTCTACAGTTTTATTATATGTATAGGAGATATGTACATGCTTACAGTGTAATATTATGATGTAAAACGGCGACCTTAAGTACTAGGAAGATGTAAACCACACACACATACGCACCTGAGAATGTGCGTGCGTTTGTGTATTTGCGTCTAGAATTTTCTATAGTAGAGCAATGAGTGTTTGATTTTATGGACACTTCAAGTAGCTGTACTGAGGTCCTGGTCATTGTGAAGCGTATTAGATACTGTTTGTCTAGATTGTTCTGTTGTAGAGTGGTCAGAGTTTGATCTTGTATGAAATTTTTACGAATTGTATTTCGAAGGTCCTGGGTATTGCGGGGAGCCTCAGGTAGTCTACATGTAAAGTCCTTGTACTGAAACGGTCAATGTAAAAGCGTCTAGAATCTTCTATACTGGGCGCTTGATGCTGCAGAACTGTTCTAAATTAGTCATTGATAAAATAAATGAAGAACCTTGTTATATATAGCTAAAATTTTTCAAAACTAGAAAACTGGCTATTATTAGTCTTAATTTTACACCATTACTTGAAAATAAAACTGTTATCTTCCATCAGGATATCTTTACATGAGACGAGTTTATACTGGGCGATACTTTTTGCGCTAGTCGAGCTCGGCCACACTGACCTAATGCACGTTCCTGTGGACTTCATATTGGCTAATCCAAGACATTATTGTGCTGATTTGGTTGTGAAGGTAAGGATATATGAAATACGTACTATTAATACTATTCTCACTAATCGAATGAGTACTTTTTATTTATATTTAACTCATTGATATATAAAGATATTTTCTAACAAATATCTCTTCAAAAAGTGGCGCCAACATGTGACGTTAAGTCAAACCATAGAATAAAATTCAAAAATCGTAAGTTCTAATTGTCTAAACAAATTCGAACTTACGTACACCACATAGAGTAGTTTTTTAAATGAAATAACGTGCGTTTTAATTTTGTCATCCGAAAAGCAATGAACAAAAGAAATTAATAAAAAACGCAATTTAATTTCACATTGTGCATTTCTTTGAAGACACTTTTGAGACGCTAATTGTGTACTTTAAGTTTTTGCAGAGAGAAATACTTTTCAACACGAAGTATTCATTTTAATGCTGAATCACAATTTTTACATCATAACCACTCATTGAGAAAAATATGAAAAACTGTTATTCAATGGATTATGGCATATTTTAAATACTGATCTGTATTGACGTTGACGGTGCGCAAATTATGAGTTACCTTACATAATATGTAACAAAATTTAACGGTGTTCAAATATAAAATTAACCGTTTCCCTGTCCTATGAGTCATATATTAATATTTCGATTGTATAACTATTATGCCTATTTTATGGACAGTTAATCTGTTAATATCAAAAATATCGTGAAAGTGCCTTCATCGTAATACATGAGTGGATTCGCGGATAAAAGCTAATAAAATGGCTATAATAAAGAAGTAAATAAGTATTGAAAGAATATTGTTTTGTCAGTCACAGCGAATACTTTATAACATGGAAGAGAAAAAAAACAATTGTTATGTTTTATTGAATCTTCCGTAAATAATGAATTTTAAGTTTATGTCTATTTTATCTATTTTTTTGTACTTAGGGAATAACATCAATTCTTCGTCAACAAGTGCTTCCAAAGGATATGAAAAACAACATAATCGAGAAATTATTGGACAATATGAAGAACTATTCGGAAGATCATGCTGTACAGATTTTGATGGTGCATTTGTTTTCAGGTAGGTTGAGTTTGTTGTTCAAATTATATTGGTTTCTGACAGATATATCCTATGTGTAATGTGTATGTTGAATAAATAAAATAAATAAAAACGATTATAACTAAAATATATTTTTTCTTTGCAGCTGACAGCAAATTAATAAGTCCAAAACTTGAATCAGACGTTTCAAATATGGATCCTGACGTCCTAATGAATTCTATGGAACGTATTACTTTACTATACAAAGTTCTGAAGCTATGTAAGAAGAAAACGAACAAACACATAATAACCTCAGCAATAAAGTATTTCCTAAGAGAAACATTACCTCCCGCTGCTACGTTGAGTAGAGTGGTGATAGAGTATCTGGAGATATGTAAAGAGAGTGAGAAGAAAGAGATCAAATTGTTGTGCGATAGAGATAAGTGGGTTGAGAATTCGGTGTTAAGCGCTGATATTGTTTTTGAGGTAAATTTTATTTTTTATTTTTCAAGTGAAACTTCTTAAGAATCGTTGTGATTTGAAACTCTATGAAATGGAAATGCGACACTAGAAAGAGACAAACACATAAATATATAGGATTAAGCCGGCGAGAGAATGAGATAGAATACATTACACAGGAAATAAAAAAATATGTAATGTAATATATGTTAAATAAAATAACTTTTAAAATTGGAAAAGATATTATTAATAAAACCTTACCTTATTCTACTCCTGATACTCTATATTCATCTCATTCTCTCGTAGGTTACTTTTCTGAAGTTTCACTTCTACCTTGTGTGAATTAGACAAATATATATTTTTAGTTGCTTAGCAACCTATGTGTTATTGCAGGTATATAATCTATCTGTGTACAAAATTTCATCCAAATCCCTCCAGCCGTATTACCGCGAAGTAATAACAAACATACACACACAAATATAATACATATGTCACCGTGAAATTGTAAACCGCTAGAGCACAATCTATCTAGCGAGATTGTAAACTGTTACTTCGACTGTTCACAATCTCGCTAGATAGATTATAATCTAGAGACACTTACAATTTTACGGTGACATATACAGACTCTCCCATTTTTACCCACTAGTCCCACTAGTCCGATAGTAAATATCTTTCGAATTACACTTTCTTAGAATTTACGCAAATATGTGAAATTTTAAATAAAACTATCTTTATGGATTTTTTCCGCGGATTTATTTTGATTTTTAGTTCCCGATGTTTCGAATGCTTTAAAGCAATCATGGTCACTGAAGACTGTCTCCGAAAAATCAAAAAGGAAAAATCCGAAAAAATATTTTTATCTTTCTATTACTTTATTCTGTAATACTTTATTAGATTTACGCGAATATTTGAATTTTAAAATAACTATCTTTTAAAAATAATTTTATTTAAAATACTACATTCTGATTTTCAATTGCATTCAATTGTGATTCTTCTGTAATATTATAAATTTCTTTTGCAGGTGTTTGAGACATCTGTATCACAAGACCAACTTACAGTTCTAAGCGGATGGATATTCGAAGCGCTATGTCATCTATTAAACGGCAAAGTTTCATCAAAACTGTTACCATATTGTCTCTTAACTTTGCTTGTATCGGCTAGTTCAAATCGTCACTTGCGCTCAATAAACGCTCTAACTAATCACATATTTAGACTAGGTTTCTATAAAACACCAGAAAATGTACAAAATTGGGGTATTTTTGATGATTTTGCCAATAATTGGGGAACTAAAATGTCGTTCTCTGAAAGGCGTTTGTTATGTATAGTGGCCCTTCATTCAAACTTCAGCGCGAATCAGTTAGAGAGATTGAAGGAATTATGTGAAGGGAACGAATGTTTGAATGATTTGAAGCAATGCTTGGCAGCCATTTAGTGACGTCTTGGTTGTGATATAGTGCTTTGGAAATTTAAAATTAAATAATCGATTTAAAGGTTATCAATTTTAACTGGTATTTAACTAAATTAATGTGCTAATGATAGTGAAACTGCGTTTATTAAAGATTATCAAAGTAAAGTGCGGGTGCTAAAGACACATAAGGATTGGTGACCGTTTAATGAAATGAATAGCTTAAAAACATTGATGTTAATTGATATTGAGTTTAATAGTCATTAAATCATGTTATAAATGAACTAATAAGCTGATAGAGTCATCACTATCTCATACAATTAAAATGAATATTTCATTTGAAACATGGAAGAAATATGCATTCAGTCCCTTTTTTAATATCCCACTGTTGGGCTTCTTCTTAACTTAAGCTGGCCAAGTGCGAGCGGACTTCACATGTCTTTCGAAAACTTGGTAGGTTATCTCAGACATACAAGTTTCCTCACGATATTTTCCTTCACCGTAAGACAAGTGGTTATCATGTTGGAAATGATTCGCACGTGAAAATATCAGAGGTGGTGTGATACCCGGGATTTGAACCCGCTTCACTCGGTTTCCCAAGCGAGCGCGTCACCACTGGGCTACCTTAGATAAAAAAAAGAAAAATATTTGCAGAAATTCACACGAAATGCTTGAGCTAAATATATGATAAAACAATATTTTTATAATTTCAATAAATAATAATTAGCAATAAATTTTATTAGCGAATGATGTGAAAGATTGAATGTAATATTTTGTTAAAAAATTTAACCGACTTAAAAATGGAGGAGTTACACAATTTGGCTGTACTTTTTTCTTTAAAATAAATATATTTTTCTATATAAATATGAGATTGAAATTTATCGCTTATTGTTAATATTACAACTTTTGCTTGTAATTGAATTATTGTGATGAGTTCTTATTACAAATAGATGTTTAAAATAAATAACCGTTTATTGAAGTTTTCTTTGAATCGAGATAGCTTAGTAACTTTGAACAAAAATAAAATAAACATGTATTTTATTATTTGACTGGATGAAATAATTTTTTTTATGATGTGTGTAATGATTAATTTTAAAATCGATTTTTCATTTTCGTATCGATTTTAATGTAAGTTTTTTTATTCATTCCATTTTGCTTTACGAGAATTATGTGCGAACTAATTTTTTTTCTCATTAATAAAAATACTTCCATTAAAAGACTTCTGCACGATTATCGTAAGAAGGCATGAATATTTTAATTGTTGAAATGTCTAATTTTTTATGAATCTTACAATTATAGCAATACAATAAAATCGACATAGCACAGATTAAAAATGTAGCTTAGAATTAAAATCGAATATTGTTCAATATTTAATGTAATTGTAGTACAAATAAAATGTAATTAATGAGGCCTTCGCCGTTAAAGAGCTGTAGAAATGCTTGGAATTTACTAAATATCGATATTTTGCACTAAAATCTGATATAACTTAAGAATTTCATAGATTTTTAATTCGAGAATTTAGAACATACCCCCAAATAATCCGTAATTTTTATTTAATCTAGAGGAGCAAATGTTAAATATTTCCATTTTATGATTTATATAGATTTTCTTATATATTAATCGTCATCTGTTATATATATACTTTGTTTTTTTTTTAAATTAAAGTATTGTGTAAGTAAATGAAGTTATTGTTGCTCTTATACGTTGTTTTCGAGCTTAGTCTAACTTAGTGATCTCCTAATCGTAGTAAAATAAATATATAAGCGTTTTTTTTTCAATTATACAAAACAAGTGTATTGCCCCGACTTCGTATACATTTTAAATAAATATCTACCCACAATGTGTTTTTATTATTGAGATTTGTCTTTATAAGCGATAGATTTGGGTGTTTTTTTTGTATGTATGTCACTTGCTATTTTTGACGATTATGAACAGATTTTAATGATAATTCTTTTAATATCTATACAGATATCTATACAGATAAATAAAATTGAAGTGTCTGTTTGTAATTTCAAAATAACAAATTTTTACTAAATACAATGCAAATTAATTGTATAAAACATTTTAAAAGACTCAGTTTTTCAAAACGTTAATTGGCGTCCAAGATCCGTCATTTTAATTTTTATCAACACTAACCGAACGATGTATGTATCATCAAAATCGGTTAAGACATTTAGTTATTATTCGGGAACATAGAGTCGGACCTATGTAAGTTAATTCATACATACATGACCCTCCTTTGGGCTTCGCCACAGTCGGGTAAAAACAGATGAGCCTAAGAAATTTGTGAGTTAATTTGGTCGATAGTTCAAACTCGCTTATGTTTTTTTATAACTATAATAAAAAAAAAACTTCCCAGGATCCAACTTCTGGGCTTTCTGCTAATTATATTAAAAAGCTGTAGAGGGAGACAGCGTATAATATACGTTTCTTTTCGTTAGGAATGGAATAGGATGTATAGAATTGTCGATAGATACTTCACTCAAATGCCTCATGCTTAGAAAGTTTTTTAATGATTGTAAGCCCCCCAAACTAAAATATTTATTGTATAGTTTTTATAAACATTAAAATTTTCAATTGTCTGAATTGATTTTTGAATAAAGGAATATTATTAATCTTCTTTTTCTTATATAGCAACTTCGTTATAGATATTTAATCGAATGAAATTTGTTAACTTATTTCGAAGTTAAATTATACCAAAATAAGGTCAAGCAAAGTCGTTAAACACTTAATTTCACTTTCAATTTTTTACAATCTTAGTTAATTTCTTTACCATTTAAATTTAAATTAACAACTCCAGCGAAAAGATTGTTGATCGTTAGAGATCTACGTCGCATCGTATCAAAATAGTTAACGAGTATTTTAATGACAATGTGAATTATATTTTAAGTGTTTGCTTGAGCAATAAAATGTTAGATTATATAGATATTTGATTTAAATTTTATTTTTGTCCTCCAACTTCTTATTCTTGACGATTGGAATATAACATCTAAAGGCTATACAGGAAAATAATTTTATTTGAATACTAGCGACTCACCGTAGGTTGCTTTCCCATACAAATGATAGACGAAATCAAGAGACGTATGGCAATATCTAGGTCAGCCATGGATAACTTGCAGAAAACATGGAAGAACCGTAACGTAACCAAGGCCACTAAGACCCGGCTAGTTAAAGCGCTTATGTTCCCCATATTCCTCTATGCTTCGGAGACGTGGACCCTGCGAGAAAGTGAGAAGAAGAGAAGAGACGTTCTTGAGATGTAGTGCTGGAGAAGAATGTTTAGTCTCTTGGAACGAATTCCGGACTAATAAATCCATTCTCGAAGAACTCGGCATCAAGCAACGTATATCCTCCACTGTACAGTCTCGCATTCTCACTTTCTTTGGTCATATAAGAAGACGTGATGATGTTTCGATTAGATTTGTTGTTAGTGGTTTAAAGAAGATTAGAGGGCACTAGAGCACGTGGCAGAATGCCCATGAGGTGGACAGACCAAGTGAGGGCTGCGGTGAGTGTTCCCTTACACGAGTGTACAAAGAAAGCAGCTGTTAGGGAGGAGTGGCGACGAATTGTCAAGTGCGCCACAGCGCTCAAGTGACGACCACGATCACTCTGTCAAGAGTGTAACGACCTAGAAGTTTCTGAGCTTATTCGGTACTAACAAACAAAAAAATCTTTCCTCTTTAAAGTATTAGTATAGACCAAACCGATTAGACTTTGCTCAAAGATTGATTTTTGTTTTAAGTTAAAATTTGGGTGCTTATTTTAAAAAAAATAACCAATGATATTAATGGGATAATTATATGTATGTAATTATGTATATAAATGTTTAGGCGCTTTTGATATAAACACTTCAACATAACAAATTCCTTATAACAACACAATCAGATTAATTTCGAACTTAGATATAGATACATGTTATTGGGTAAAAGATAAAAGTTAATTCATTTATAGAGCTATGCAGTTTTATTGGCGCAAAGATATTTCTTATACAGTGATATGTAACCTACTAAATACTATTGACCAACTAACAACAAAAAACTACTTTTGACCAACCTCTTTAGACAAAAGTAGTTTTGACCAAAAAATAGTTCATTTCAGAAGTGTTGTCAGCTTTGAAACATTGGCACTAAAAACGGAAAGCATTGTAGCAAAATAAACCTTTCTTAAATTTAAGGTTTCAATTATAAATACTATAACTTAAAAAAATTATTGATAACTTTAAAATGGTAATTATTTTCTTATTATCATATTATTGAAGTTACAATAATTATTAAGGAAATTATTTTTCTATTACAGGAATCCCCGTCCAATAATACATAGTTTGTAAGCCTTTTTTAGGAAACCCCTTTGTTTGTAAAATCTTTGCAATTGGAAAAAGAATTGAAAAGTCCCAAAAAGGTCCACAACGATCGTTCACGATTCTTTATTATTATTTTAGGCAAGAATGCATAAACCATATTATAAAAGAAGAGGATAAAATGTGCCATCTTAATGATCTGATGGATAGTGTGTGTGATTCTTTTATAATCCGAGTGGATGATGAGGATAAGGATGATATAAGTAATAATAATTACATGATACTCTGTTTTTTTTCATTTAACATTAAACATTTACATTATAGTTCGTGTGCATTGAATGCACAAAACAAAGACTATTTCCAATGTCATGCATATAGTTTACTTTATCTTATTCTGTTTCATATTTTTTTGTTATTTTATATTAAACAAATACAAAGCAGAAAAGGTTTATGATACCTGAATTGTCAAAGAATGATAGCTGTCATATTTCCTTGGTATTAAAAATCAGACTTTAGTGTCGTAGACTTTGGTGGTGTTATATGGTTTGAAGTTTCCTGTCTTCTCCGCATCGCAAATTAATTAGTATCGTACATTACACCTCCAGTTTTGCGTACAAACTACTGTTGTTCCTACTTATCAGGCAAGCCATTATAATTCATCTATACAAATAAATAAAATTAAAGGTTCTGTTTGTAATATCAAAATAACAATTTTTAAAATTTTTGTCTCTCTGTCTATACTCCGGCTAATCTCTAAACGGCAGGTCTGATTTTGATTGGATTTTCACTGGCAGATAGCTCATGTTAAAAGGAGTAAATTAGACTTTTATTTCAGAAAAGGATTAGGGTTCCGCGTAAAATAAATTAAAATGTAAACGAAACTCGCGTACTAAGGACGCACCCGAGGGAAGCAAGGGCAAGTCGCTAGTCTTCAATAATCAACAATTACAGACAGAAGTAAACAGTTAATTTAAAAACAAGAAAAAACTAATATAAAATCACATACGTAATGCAAATAAGCACCTATTACCAAATAATGTAGTTGCAAGATGCCTTTTCTTTTGAACTACTTTGTCTGTGTCAAAACAAACAGCTGCAGCGCCGATCAAGTGAAGCTAGCAAGTGACAAATGGACAATAGTGAATGTCATATATCATTAAATTTAACAAGCCACCTGCGCTACAATTGTTTGTTTATATACCTATTATATTTAATCTAAATTGATTTTCATCCGCTAACCATTGGTTAAGAGCCAACTTACTACGTACGGATCTTAGACTTCATACGTATATAAAACTAGCAACTTACCTTCGGGGTCGTCCATAGGAACGTTTTAATGGTTAGTATAAATTTCTCAGAGATGAGATAATATTTTCCCGCAGTAAACAGTATCCTATATGTTGACCCGGACAACCAGCTATCATCATACCAAATTTCATCAAAATTTGTCCAGTGGTTTTCTCGTGATGCGTTCCCTGACAGAGAGATAAAAAGACACAAATTCAAAAAACTAAAGAAACAGCCTTATAAAGATTACTTCAAAAAGATTTTCAAAAAAGTATTTAATGTACAGATTCGACTCAGAATTTTATTATATTTAATATGTATAGATGAATAGTAAAGAAAGTGCGAAAGAACTCTGGGTAGTTTTATTGATAAAAGTGACTCACTCCACTTTGCATTATAGTATTCATAACACTAGAGACGTATCCCGACTTCACTTGGATGTATTTATAATATATTTTTCGTTTCGTCCCTAGCTTGCTTCCCGATACAAACTTTCATCCCCGTTTTCACCCTCTTAAGGGACGATTTCCGGGATAAAAATCCTATGTCCTTCCCAGGGTCTCAAACTATTTTCTCACCAAATTTCATCCAAATCGGTTCAGTAGATCCAAAGATTATCCCATACAACATCAGAAACTCACAAACTTTATATTTTTATAATATTAGTATAGATACACAGACAGCGTCATCTTTTGGCTTTTGACCTCATAACTAGTCTAATTGTATGCTAAATTTCATCCAAATTCATCCAGCCGTTTCGGTGTGGAGGAGTAACAAACACACACTCATACACATACAAACTTTCACATTTATAACAGTACTGTCAATTTTAAATAAAAGTAAAGAATATTCAAGTCTATACAGAACACTAGTTTGTAGTGCATAATAATGTACATTTTCGTAAAACTATTGATAAGTTTATCAGTACAATAATAATTGATCAATTTATAATTTATCAGTTAACGATACGAAATGGCGGCAACACGTCGCGGTTATATTTTTGGTGCGTTCGTGTCCAGTGTGCTTTGTGTTATTTTGATAATCGTCGCTATTTCTAGTGATAGTTGGGTCAGTATTACATTGGATTGTGAGTACAAAAGTGGTCTAATAACAAAATGATTTTGATGACTTAACGGTCTATACGTACATTTGTGTAATAAAACGTCAAAAAGGAAGTATGACTTGTTATGTTATCTATTAGTCATAAAAAACTACATGTTCGTAATTTTTGGCATCAATTTTACTACTCTTCTTCGTGTCTTCTCCAATAAACGTGACATTGGCGAAGTAATCTGTGCCCAACTGGCACGCTTTGAAGCCATTAACTAGAGAATTGAATTGAATTTTACACATTTTAAAGTAAAAACTAAAATTTAGAAAAATATTAAAGTTAAACGAGTTAGACCATTTTTGCACTGATTTTATTTACAATTATTAGTCACCACTGTATGATAACATAAAATTTTAGTAATGGTTTTGTATTACTAACATGTACCTATCTATACATTACTAAGTCAGGAGGTGAATTATACAGGACATGCGCCCGATCTCACCGGAAATATTGTATTATCTCATCGCACTTTGACAGTGAAGGAGTGTTTAGGACTTTGTTGACTCACCTATAGATATAATAAAATTGTAACTAAGCCGAATCTGTACATTAAATATTTTTTGGAAAATCTTATTGAAATAGACATTATTATCGATACAGAGGCCGAATCTATAGTTTTTAGAATTTTCGTCTGTCTGCCTGTATGTCTGTCTGTAACGGCATCACGGAAAAACCACTAGAGGGACTTTGATGAAATTTGGTACGATGATAGCTGATTATCCGGGTCAACGTATAGGATACTTTTTACTGGACGTTAAAACGTAACTAGGACGAACCCGAACGGGGCGAGGGTGAGTCGCTACTACATAATACACTTAGATATCCATTTTTTAAGATGTCAGAAGTAAGTATATTACGTATTATAAATGGTGTTTCAAATCTCAAAGTCCACTAAGATAGTCCAATCGGACGTGTGCAAGACATTCGCTATACGCGTCCTCTCTCAGCAAAATATCCTGCAATAGATGAAATCTTTTGAAATAGAGTATTAAATCAATTTTGTATCGTGATATTGCGAAGGAACAAAATCAAATGTTGTTAGAGTAGAAATGATAGTACATTTTAGATGTTAGAAATAAACTCTGGAACCATTAAAACGATTTAAAAATTCTTTTGCTAATAGAAATCGATATTTTTGAATAGCATGAGCTATTTTCAATACCAGTTTTAGACTATTAATAAAAAGTCAAAACATATCTACAGCTATTAAAGAAAGGAAATTTGAAAAATAGTATTGAAATGACATATCTACCTATATCTATCATCGATCAAAAAGTACTAGACACACAAACCCATACAAAAGTTCTCTTAAAACTGTCTCCAATAGTGTTTAGTTAATTATTCTAGTTGAAATAAATATACAGCAATGTAAATTGAACCTAAATGCAATACTTTAAGTTATTTTTGTTAAAAAACACTTTGAATTAATAGCGCGCTCCAATGTTCAATAAGCGCTCATTCGACACGACATTTTTGTCGCTGATTGTGTATATAAATACAGTTTTATTGTTTATATAAGTGCCTTTTTTGATTAATGATATCTATACTCATAATAAAATTTTAACTGAATAGAACCTGTAAATTAAATATTTTTTGGAAAATCTTATTAAAATAGTCATGTACAGAGACCGAATCTATAGTTCTTAGAATTTTTTGTCTGTCTGTATATCTGTCTGTCTGAGAACGCATTACGAGAAAACTACTGGACAGATTTTGATGAAATTTGGTATGATGATAGCTGGTTATCCGGGTCAAAATATAGGATACTTTTTATTGCGAGAAAAATATCTCATATCTGAGAAATCTATACTAACCGTTAATATATAATCATAACATTATGTTATTCTCATATTTTTTTTATTTAGATTACTATACTTCAACTACTGTATTGTAACATGATATCTATTCTAACTTCTAAGCCCTCATAATACAAACTACGAGTATTTTCATCCCGAATATGTTGAGTTGTTATATAGTTAAGAAGTCACAAGCACTCTCACTCAGTTAATCATTCACTTACAAACTTTCGCATTTATGGCATCTGTATGATTAGCTGTCCTAACTGGTTGAAGGGGCAAAATATTGAGTAAATATCACAAAAGTGATATCAGGTGGTTCGGTGGCTATTTTCAAAATAATAGATATACCTTTCAATTAGATAGAGCTATATTTAAATATACGAAAGAAATCATTTTATCAATGCATTTTTTTCTCGACTGCGGTAAAGCCCAAAGGAGGGTTATGTGTTTGACCCCTATGTATGTATGTCCGATTCTATGTTCCCTCGTAGTTAGTAATTACTAAGCGGCTTAATCGATCCTTTTTTTTGAACGTTGGGAAATGCATTTACGCACGAGGCGTGGGACTCACCGGCAAAGTCAGTACTACCCACTAAAACCCAACAAAACCATCCCCCGTCTTAATGGGGTGTCGCAGGATCGCTTACGCATTCAACCACGACGCCCCGACGGCATGTCTGCCGAAGTAGACCATAACAACCATGGGGTTGCTCCAAGGTCCACTCTGCTATCAGAGAAGTACCAGGAGCAACCCGCATGGTACACCGCCCACCGAAGAGGGCTAAGTCCCTGTGCGTTGCTTGGCTTCCTCCGCGCCCTGCTGGGTTGCCGGGCACTACTGAGCCCCCCCACCACGACAAGGTGAACGCACGTTGGAGGGGAGGCTAACCGATCCTGATGATTCATACGTCATTCGATTCGTCTTGATATCGCGAGTGTCATAGAAAGTATATATACTAAAATAGTCCCTTGAAAATCAAAATGACGCACCGTAAGCGCCAATTTGTGTGTCTTGAAAAAAATATTTTCGTCCGCATGAATCGAATGGGGTATCAAAATACAGGTTTAAGAGGCGATTATTAATAGCTTTAAAGGATGCCTGCTAAGCACAGATTACTTTTTCAATTGCACGTACGTATTTTCCCTTTTTATTTAAAAGTCATAGAATTCCATTAAGGACAGTACCGTAGAAAGATTTGGAGCAGGATCGACAGTCATAGGGATATATTATAATAATAATAAGTTCTTTATTTCCAAAAGGTAGTAGATCCAGATATTTGCTATATATATATATATATATATATATATATCTACTAATATATCGACGTAGCAAAGCATATTTGCTGTAAGTAGACATATTGCAATTGTTCACCAGAGCCAAAAAACTTTATCGATTTCGGAAAATAGTTAATAGTATCTGACCTATCCATGATATTGCTACCATTTTTGGAACATAGATTTATTTAACTGCCAGTCACCATTTGCAATGTAAACTTTTTATCCAAAGTTATTATAAGTACGTGTTTGGCTAGTTACAGCAAACAGTTTTTTAAATCACATACCTTTAAAATGCTCTAAGGAAGAAAAATGTACGCGTAGATGGATATTATCAATTTACAGGCGGTAAATATGCTGTATGCCGTAAATTTATTTATTTGGGTACTGCAATTCATGATGTAAGATTAAATTTATAATTATGATTAGATCTAGAAATGCAGTGAGTCAGTTGGTAATGTAATGTTTGGTTGAAATAAAATGTCGTAAATTGTAAAAAAATATATGGTCTTTTAAATTGTTGAAACAACATTTGAAACTCTAATTATACTGCCAGAACTTCATTTCAACAATACAATGAATTAAAAAAGTATTTTTCTTTTCTATATAACAGATAAAACATAATGAGACAATAACAGAATATCGTACAAGGAATGAAGGGTGCGGGCGGAGCCGGTAGCGATGCGGTAACACCGACACAACTTCAAAGTACTATCATTTTTTCAATGGCGTAACGGTAAAATGATAAATGATTTATCAAAATGCATTCTCTCAAATTTCTAAAAAATCACACGTTTTTAAAATGCATTATGTGGTGTGAGCTTTTAAAGCAAATACGTGATGATTTGCTGTAAATAATAAAAACTAAAACTGTAGGATCCCTAAACTTGCTGTAAGTAAAAAAAAACTTCTATTTTGGGTAAATCGGAACTAGAACCCAGGATCTTTTCAGTTGTACATGCTAACCACTTAACGTAACGTTTATTCGTAACATCATTACCTGGTTAACAACATTAATACGTATACCCAATGACCCGAAATTCGCACTCAGAATTTTCCCACTATAATTATTATAAACGTCAAATAAATGATGATAAATGAGGTAATGGCAAATAATCACTTTGGTACGAAATGGAAAATATTTACTATACGTTATATAGTAACAGGATCAAAGTTGAGAGTGGTTTCACACCGAATAGTTTTACCGAATCAGTTTTCGTATAGGTTTTGTCCTGTAAGATGGTACATATATTACTACTATGATAAATGTGAAAGTTTGTGAGTATGGATGTTTGTAACTCTTTCACGCCAGAACGGCTTAACGGATTTGAATGAAATTTGGCACAGAGATAGATTTTAGTCTGGAATAACACATAGGCTACTTTTTATCCCGGAAAAATATACCTACAGTTCCTGAGGGATAGATTTGTTCTTGCTTATCTAGATGCGAACCCGAGCGAAGCGAGGGTGAGCCGCTAGTGGTGTAATATATTTAGTACCTGAGCGACCAATCTTCGCTTGGTGTAGACGCTCGTTCAGTATGTTATCATTTTTTGGTTACAGTGCAAGTGCCACAAAAATTCACAAGATGGCGCTATATGTATTATCAAGATGATGTTAGTTAGTAAAAGGCGCTAATCATAATTAGTTATAAAAAAATATATTTCTTTTTTGAAAAAAATCGTGTTTTCTGACAAGACATCTATATAGATAAACTTAAAAGCAAAACCTTATCTAAAGTCAAAATTTAAATTTACAAACAAGAATTGTTCATTTAATATTATAAGATACCTATTACTATAGCTACGTAAATTACGCTGACTTTTGATGCATTTTGATAATAACATTATTTTATTGCTTTTATTGGATTTAAATTAAGCCGGTATGAAGTGATAAAAATTGGGGGATTTTTATGTATTAAAAAGGTATGTAAGTAACATTACGAGTTCATACATGTAAAATAACAGTGACTTACGTATATTCGTTTCGCTCGAGTGATAATTTAGGCATTATAATAGGCAGCGAAACTTCTTGGAAAATTTTAGTACTAACAGAAACAGATAAACAATGACCTGGAGTAATACGTACTGGCTAGGTATTATTCCAGGTCATTGATTACCTGTGACCTAAACATCCAGATCAGATAACATACATACATACACACACACACACCTATGGTTTCACTATTATGATAATTATTTAACTGTTTTGGACAAAGTCTTACAATTAGACTTATATAAACTGGGAAATAAAACTCATTTCATTTGAATGGAAACTAGTGGATAATAAAGAAATTAACACTTTGTTCCAGGTAGAGTGCGCGACGTACAATCAAAATGACATTGACAGCAAGACCAGTGACACCCGATATGGTTTATTTGGCGGACAGTTTAGCCTATACTTGCTTAACACACCGTCGTACAGCACATTGCATAGTAAGTGTTATAACAACATGATATAACAGTATCACTATCTACTAGAAAACCAAGTGAAGCTGGTTCAAATCCTGAGTCTCTCGCTTCTGATATATTCATTTGCAAATCTTTTTCAACATTACTAGCACTTGTCTTTCGATGAAGGAAAACTTCATGAGAAAACTTGTATGCCTGAGCGAACCTAGCAAGTTTTCGAAAGACATGTGAAGTGTGCTAACTCGCACTTGGTTAGCTTGGTAGACTATTACCTGATTCCATTCGTATTGAAGCTTGTGTTTAGTAATGGGACGTTAAAAAATGTTGAATATATTCCCTTAAACAGCAGTTCCATTTACGTTATTTAAAATCTAAACGATTTTGCAAAAGAAAACTAAACATATATAGGATTTCGCTTCAAAATGCCACTAAACGGTTTAATATGTCAACGTCTATCCCATTGGGAGATTCGCGCTTGCTTCCGAAATAGAAAACAATGAATATAAATTCATGCTTATCACTTGTTGAAATTTCATTTTTAAAATGTTTGTGATGAAAGCTGCATAACAGAAGGAATAGAATAAGTTTTAGGTAGATGTCTTAAGTCCACCAACTAGCATTTTGTCAGTGTGGTGGGCTTTGCTCTAAACTTGTTATGTGGGGAAGCGATTCCCCGGTAGTGGGATTTTAAAAATAAAATACCATTATAAATTATAAAATTTTAAACTAACGAAAGTTATTATATAATATTAAATTTTTAAAACGGAAAGATTTGATCACAAAAAAATGTCATTTTTTTAATGTGAAAGATCGGTTGGGTCATGTTCATCGATCAAAAAAGTACTAGATACACAATCCCATGCAAAAGTTCTCTTAAAACTGTGTGTGCTAAGGTAATTATTCTAGTTGAAATAAATATACAACAATGTAAATTGAATTTTAAATTCTATATTTAAAGTTGTTTTCAAAAAGTAAAATTAAAAGCGCGCTCAAATATTCAAATGAGCGCTCATTAGGCGAGGATATTTTTTGTCGCTGATTGTGCACCTAGTAGATTTTTAATCGATGGTCATGGTGTATAGTAGCTTTTGTTCTTCTTCACCAAAGGTTACATGCCTAAATATAATATGGCATAAAAATTACATAACAAACAAAAAAACTGTTAAATATAGCAAAATCTAGAATAGATAGTACTAACAAAACAAATCAACCTACATATATAAACAAAGCAATCTGTCTGTAAGGGTGACCTGCCCGTGACTTATTTACGTCATCAAGCCCTACATGAAGTTTGAATTTGGAATAAGATTTTGATGTCACTTTCGGTTTGATAAGGGATTGTGGCTGGCAGTGCTACCCTTAATAATTTAAACATGAAGGGCCAGCTCGCATAAGTATGTTTTCAAATATTGATCTACACTCACTATAATTAAACTTTTTTGGTTTTATTTGGTTTATTGCTTTGTGGCTATTATCGGGAAAGATATAAAAATTACGTTTTCTTTTCAGAAAATACACCTATGTAGATAAACTTAAAAAGATCTAAAATTTAAAACCAAAATTTGAGCCAAATCGTTAGAGCCATTTCCGAGATACGAAATAAATTTATATATATAAACATACTAAAATTGCTCATTTTATATTATAAGATATATTTTTTACCCGACTGCCCCTGAAAGAGTATAATGTTAATTTTATTTTATTTATTTAAAATAGCACAGTCATCTAGATACTTTTGAGTTTTTCACTGGCAGAATTGCTTTCCGAGCTCGTTTAGTTTCCTCGTGAATTTACATACTAACAATTAATCTAAATATAAAAATTGATCATTCAAAAGTGCTTGTAAAATTACTATGTTAGCCATACGCTTTTAAAAATGATGAATGATGAAAAGGAAACCATCGTTAACCGACTTCCAAGAGAAGTTTTATTTTAATTAAATTGCTTAGTCGAATATGTTATTAAAAAACTTTCTTCTTACGAATTACCTGTTTATTACGTCTACATTAAAAATGGAAAAATAAAGACCTAAAAAAACTGATTTCCAGGCACTAAAACTAAAATGTTAGTGCCTGGAAGTCGGTTTTATTTTTATTTTATTGCTTAAAATTTGTTGTAAGGGACAATCATTTAAGTGTGCACCTTCATTTTATTTCAATTGCCGTAATGACAACACAATCACCTACAATATACATGGTTTTAATTTTTCAATAAAATATAATAATATGTCGTTCTTTTATATCTATTTTCAATCAACACTAATATGTAGTAATACTATAAGAAGGAAATATTTGTATTTTTGTATGTTTGTAACGAATAAACTCCAAAACTACTGGACCGATTTAGATGACAGGAAGATAATTTGAGGCCCTGTTTCCAGGACGAAAGTTTGTATGGAGAATCAACCCAGGGACGAATCGGCGCGAAACGAGGGTATTAAAATATGTTTTTTGTTATAGTGACATGTATACCTGAAATAAACGTGTGTGCAGTCAGTTGCAAAACAGAGGCACTAGCAAGAGAGCAAGAGGTAATTTATATTATTTTTGCAATAAAGTCTAAAATGTGTACACGTTACATAACTTTATATTATTTACCTTTCTACATCATTATTTCTAATCTATACATATAATAAAATTCTGAGTCGAATCTGTACATTAAATATTTTTGGAAAATCTTATTGAAATAGTCATTATTATCGATACAGCGGCCGAACCTATAGCTTTTAGAATTTTTATCTGTCTGTCTGTGTGGGAATGCATCACGAGAAAACTACTGGACAGATTTTGATGCAATTTAATATGATGATGGCTGGTTATCCGGGTGAACACGGGATACTTTTTAATGCGAGAAAAATATCTCATCTCTAAAAAATCTATACTAACCGTTAAAACGTATCTAGGGACGAACTGGAGCGAAGCGAGGTTGAGACGCTAATAAAAAATATACGTATTACTTATAACTTGTTTTGTTCTCTTTGATGTGATTAATATTAAAAAAAAGAAAAAAACTACTTATAATACTGTTAAATAATTATATTTCTTTTCAATAATGTATTTATATTAATTTATCCAATAATGTATTAAGCTTTTAATTTCTAATATCATTTCATTTATTAAATTGATAGTTTTCTTGTTGTGATTACCTCTAAAAAGAAATACAATTATACTGTGTTTATTATAAGTATTATGTTATATTTGTGTTATTGTCATTTTTGTCGGTAACCTTAATAAATAAATAATGAACATGTAATGTAGGTAATGCTTAAATGTCGATACTTTTAGACATATCTTAGTTTTCTATTAGCGTTTGCGATTGTAGAATATTTACAATGTGGAATTTTAGACAAAATGTTATTCTATAGTAATCGTAGAATAGAAATCGAAAAAATGTATTGAAATAACCTGTAATGATTTTTAAAATAACGATATAATATTTGTCATTTCAATATAACTTTTTAAATTTCTATTTTCCAACGTTTGTAGAATGTGATGTTGTTTATGAACTAAATATTTCTTTTTCAGGTTCGAGCGTTAGCTGAAGGCTATCGACCTAATATAGGATGTGTTTCAGTTACAACTGTAAACACAAACGATCCTTGTAAGTAATTAGACATATTAAATAATATTATAAACATTCATTAATAATTGCCTAGCCCTCAAGGGTTGTGGTTTTAGTAAAAGGTTATAGAATTTTGCTCAATAAATGGGTTAGAAAATGGAAAAAGAATTTTTCAATTCTGACTGCTACTTCCCGAGATAAGCGCATTCAAACAAACAAACCAACAACAAAGCAAAAAAGGTATCTTAAGCTATACTATATTTTAAACCTAAGTATAGATATAATATGTCAACGATTCGTGGTTACGTAAAACAGCGAGAAATGAAACGTCAGATTATATTTGTATATTTGTAAAGATTGTAGATTTTAGTAATTTTTGATTTCCGATTATGTGACAGATCCGGCTTGAATAAAGTAGGTTGAGAAGACTAAGGGCAGAGCGAAGCGTAACTACCCCCGCTACTATCAAAATCAACTAGCACAATGGCAATCCAGCTAAACGTCGTTCATTTGTTTTACATAACGGAGCTGTTATGTAAAATAACTAGCGGTTTTATAAAACAGCTGATTCAGCAATTCATCTGCGACATAGATAATACTAGCAACATAAATAATGACTTTAAATAATACTTTCTTAGATTTACGCGAATATTTGACATTTTAAATAAAACTATCTTTTCGGATTTTGTCGCGGATTTATTTGTATTTTTGTTTCCCGACGTTTCGAATGCTTTACAGCATCCATGGTCACGGGAGAGACTGAGGTGTTACATGTCTTAAAGATATAGTTGTTACAGACAGCCTACCCACAATTAACAAAATGAACATTGCACCAATTACATTACAATATTTTAACTTTAAATATTTTTATAATTTTAATTATAATTGAATATGGAAAATTATTTATTTAATTTTTGCTATTATTTTTATAATTATTACAATTTTAAAAATATTAATTAGTAATCTATATTTAGTGTTGCCATTATTATATTTATAACCATAAGAAAAATATAAAATATAGTATTAATTATTTAAGCCACAATTGATCTATGTGTAATTTGAAAAAGTTAAGATTAATTAAAAATAATAATTTTAATTTAAATTTGCTATTATTTAAAAACAAATTATTAAGCAACACATTACTACATACATTTACAAATGAAAAAGTGAAAAAATATTATTATTCAGAAATGCTATCATTTTGATCTACACAGTAAGAACTTACTACATCTACCTGTCTGTTATGTTTAGATTTATTATTAGATTTTATTATATTAATAACAGGATCCCATGACGATGGTAGTACCCAGCCATCTTCCCTATTGAAATTAGGATGTTTTTTAATTTCTATGGCTTCTCGAATCATTCTAGGGCGATATCGGTTTTCTTTCGCCAGGATTTGAGGTCTATCGAAGCGAATATAATGGCTTGGGCGGTCCTGACTGTGTTTGCAGACAGCAGATGTTGTATTGCGACGGTGCTTCACATCAGCTATGTGTTCTTTGACCCGGGTTCCAATGGATCTCTTTGTTTGTCCGATGTAAGAGAGCCCACAATCACAATCAAGCTTGTAAACTCCTGCATCTTGTAGAGGGATGTGGCACTTGACAGGTGGTAGAAACTGACTAATTTTCTTTGGCGGCTTGAAGTAAGTTTTAATTGAAGCTCGCTTTAGAATGAAGCCAATCTTGTCAGTGACGCCTCTCGTGTAAGGTAGGACTGCAGGGACGCGCTCGACTGTGGCTGGTTTCACTCGGTCCCTGTGACAAACAAATCCGCGAAAAATACAAATAAATCCGCGACAAAATCCGAAAAGATAGTTTTATTTAAAATGACTTTAAATAAAATCTTACTATCCTTATTCACATTACCTTTTATATTTTTCAGTATCAGAGCCCCCAGTTATATCATTTGGCGTATACCTAGCTTTAGTCATCATAATATTCATACAGTTGCTAGCTGCAGTAGCGACTGCTATTCTAGCTATAATAAACGCTATGACCAATCCTACGGAACCCATATTTGGGTTACCCGGTAAGTTTTTTTACTTTTGACTCAAATAAATGGATTATAAATAAGAAATAACATAGTTTATGAAACGAATATATTATGATTACCTACCTATCTGCATCTATGGAAGCCTAACAAAAAAGTAAAGTAAAAAGTAAACTAAAGTAAGTAAGTAAAAAGTAGAATATGTGTTACTCCAGGCCATGGTCTATCTGTGTAGTAAATTTCATCGAAATCCATTCAGTCGTTTTAACGTGAAGGCGTAACAAACATAAACGTACACATGCAAACACACTTCAGCAATTATAAAAATCCGATTCAATTCGATTGCTTTGTGAGACTCATCTCCTAAGAGTGTCGTTTGGGCACAATTAACTTTGCTAATATCGTATAGCAAAGAGAGAATAATATTTGACCAGTCTTTTCTTTTATTAATTGATTCTTTTTCGATATCTATAAGCACGTTAGCTGTATATTTTGTAATTTACTGCCCCTGTGGTCTAGTAGATAGCATGTACGGCTGCAGATCTGGAGGTCCTGGGTTCGAGTCTCGGGTCGGGCCAATTTTGATTACTGAGTTTTTCTGTTAAGATCTTCTCAGTAGTAGCCCGGAGTTGGGAATTTGGCGGTGTTGCACCCCCGTGCCTGGTAAAGCTGTCGGTCCTGCGCCTTAACTCTAACTGGTGTGGTGTAGAAGTATCGTCCCATTAGTGTTTAGACTATCAGAGTAAAGGAGATTGAACGTTGTCTGCACGTATACTTGTGCACTATAATTCGGTCGGGAGTTAATAATATAATAGAACATGTAATATATTACTATTAAATGTAAATTTTCATAAGTTTGACGAAATTTTACAAAAATTGTAACAAATTTATTAAAACGAGTAGATTGAGGATGTTGGAATTAGAAAAAAAATCTATGCATTTTTCATGAAGATATTTTATCTTTGAATTTGTGTTGAAACATGGTATATTTACTCTACTATGTTCTTTTAGTTGTAGGCAGGTTCATTTATTTATAGACGTGCTGTCCCACATTTTATCCCCTAGAGTGCTGTAAGAGCCATTTTTTGTTTACGCACTAACCTAATTTCACTTTAAGCCTTCAAAGGGGATCTATGAAATATGACATCAAAACTTATTATACTTGTTTATGAGAATATTTTAGTTATTTATGTTATCTATACGTATAATAAAATTCTAACTGACTCGAATATATACATTAAATATTTTTTGGAAAATCTTATTGAAATTGTCATTGTTATCTATCTGTTGAGATTGAAAGATTGCCTGTGCATAAATAAGGCTTTATTCATCTTTAAAAATACTAACATATATTAGATAGACACTATTATAAATAGATATGACAGTTATGTTATTAACACTTATCTATATTAATAAAAATGAATGTTGGCAAGCGCATAACTCAAGAATGGCTGGACCAATTCGGCAAAAAAAGTTTTTCGTATGTTCCTTAAGGTCCATGGAAGGTTTTAATAAAGGGAAAAATATAAAAATTAACGAAAAAGAACTAAAATTAATATGGCTAACTATTTATATCTATTTAAAACATACCCAGCGACGAACCCGAGCAAAGCGAGGGTGAGCTGCTAGTATTATATAGATAAGCGGCCAGTAATATTACTACATTATCGATACAAAGGCCGAATCTATAGTTTTTAGAATTTTTGTCGATCAGTCTGTCTGTGACCACGCATCACGAGAAAACCACAGGACAGATTTTAATGAAATTTGGTATGATGATAGCTGATTATCCGGGTCAACATATAGGCTACCTTTTACTTCATTTCCTTTTACATCTCTGAGAAATTTATACTAAACGTTAAAGTAACGTAAATAGGTACGACCCCAAGCGGAGCGAGGGTGAGTCGCTAGTTATAGTAATAACATATATAGCTTGAAGAAAAATATTTTGTTATTTTTCCCTGAGTAATCTTTCCTAAAGGCCCATTATTCTTAACTATATTATAATGTCGTTATAAATATTTCACATAAATATCCAGCGTTTAATAGCAGGCTCAAAGAGCATGTGAAAGAGTTAGCAGACTTATATGTCATTTGTCTTACTTGGGCAATTGACATTTAAAAATAACAGTGACATTAAAAAAAACTAAAAAAACAAAATAAAAAAATCTTATGCTTTAGTAATCTTTACGTTCGTCTTCGCTTGAACATATCAGTAAACATTGCCTATATCTATAATAAATATAAGGGATGATACTTATAAAATAATCAAAAAGAGATCATTTAAATCTTAACTAATACTGGCGATTTAACCAATTAGATCCGTAGATCTGTCTGTGTGCTATACTCATATGCTATATTTCATCCAAATCCGTCCAAACGTTTCAGCGTTAATTAATAATAAACAAACATACACTCACAGGAATACAAACTTACTCATTTATAATATAACTAGCAGAACCCGTGGCTTCGCTCGCGCTAAAACTACTAAAAAACTCTAAAAAAATAGGTTTCATACAAACTTTCGTCCACTATTTTACCTCTTTATGGAATTAATTTCGAAAAATGCTAAAACACGCATTTATTTAATTTTATTAAAAAGCATTAATACCAAGTTTCAAGTAATTCTTATCATAAATATTTTTTTGGATTGTATTATAACGTGTTTTCCCGTGGGAATTAGATAATGTCCCGCGATAAAAAGTAGCCTATGTCACTCTCTAGCCCTTCAACTATCTTCACAAAAATCACGCCAATCCGTCACCTCGTTTCGACGTGAAAGAAGGACAAACAAACAAACGAAGAAACACACTTTCACATTTATAATATTAGTATGGATTTATAATCGATCTATTACGAAGGGGAACAGGGAAAGTCATCTTCAATATTAGAATTACTAATAACGAACTTAGATCTACAACAATTTATATTATATATATTTTTGCAGGTTGTTTGTGGTCGAATGTAGTGACAGCTGTACTAGGCATAGTCGTTATGCTATTATTTGGCGTATACTGGGAGACGTCTGGTTTGAAGGAGCATTTAGCCTTCTCATTTATAGCTTTAGGTGATGACAAACAGAGCTCCTCTTTGGGATTTTCTTATTGGTAAGTGAAATGATATATGGATGACTATTTTTAGCCTGTGGCTTTGCTTGTCTGATAAAAAGTATTATATATGCATATATATATATATTTAAATGTCTAGTTTAGTAGGATATAAGCTATCTTAATGCCGAGTTTCACTTAAATAGTTCAGGCTTTACAACGTGAAAAATTTCGTATCTTATATAGAATACTAGTTTTTAGCCGCGGCTTCGCACGCGTGGTAACTGGGGCGGGGATCAAGGGTTAGCCTATGTCCGAACCCAGAATGCAATCCATGTCCTTGCCAAATTTTATCGAAATCTGTTCAGTGTTTTAAGCGTCAAAATGTAACATACAGATATAGGTAGTTTCACCTTTGTAATATTAGTATGGATTACTGGGACAAGTGGAATTAAATACTTTTCGTATCGGACGCGTTTCCGGAATGGTAAGTAAGACTTCTTAGTGAATGTTTATTTGTTAGTACAGAATATTAGATATCTCTATTCCAAACAGAAAAAGATGAAGACTGAAAGAGTAACAAACACACATACATATACGCATGCATGCATGCATCATATTTTCACATTTCGTCGTTTTATTGCTTAGTTGTCTAAACTTGTAAATTGATCAATTTATCGAAAGAGTTTTTACTACACAATTATTGATTTTTAAATATCAATGATTTTGCTATATAATACATTATTATATTATTTTAAAAAACCTAAAAATATATTTTATATACATAAATCTTAGAAACAAAGCTTTGTTTATAAAATTGAGAAAAGCACTAAGGCGACGATTTATAATAATAGTTAGATTATTACAGAAGTTTATAAACTGAATTAAAACGTAAGCCCTTTATTACCTAATACTAGCGACTCATCCTCGCTTCGCTCTGGTTCGTCCCTAAGTTGATTCACCATACGAACTTTCACCTCCATTTTCACCCTCTAAACGAACGATTTCCGGGACAAAACTATCCTATGTCCTTTCCATGTTCTCAAACTATCTTCTTACCAAATTTCATCTAAATCGGTTTAGTAGTTTCGGAGATTATTCGGTACAAACAAAGAAACAAAAATATCTTGATAGTAATATTAAGTATAACAGATCTCATGAAAATGTTTGTTACCCTGTTATAAAATGAATATTCTTATTCTCTTACTAGCGACTCAAGTTCGCTTCGCTCGGGTTCGTCCCTAGTTTGCTTCCCAGTACAAACTTTCATCCCCATTTTCACCTCCTTTTAAACGATGATTTCCGGGATAAAAAGTATTCTATGTCCTTCCCAGGGTCTCAAACTATCTTCCTACCAAATTTCATCTAATTCGGTTTAGTAGATCCAGAGATTACCTGCTACAACGTCACAAACTCACAAACTTTACCTCTTTATAATATTAGTATAGATGAAATTTAATAGTAATATGAATTTAATGTTTGATATGTCGTTAATTTATAATATATTTTTTCAGGTTACTCATAGTGTCAATACTATGCTCGGTCGCAAACGTCGCACTGATTGAACTAAGGCGATATTTATTAGAAAGAGACCCTCCACCACCCACTATAAAAGTAGAGAATCATTCTGATGGCACTATTTTCCTTTATTAGAATAATTTATTAAAAAAAATAAACATTAAAATAGTTAGTCAGTTTTACTTTAAAATGATTGGTTTTCAAACCCTATGATTTGAAAAAGCATTTAGTCGCATATTGATCATATTTTTAAGTGTAGTTCAATTAATAAATTAATATCGACTTCATATTTATCATTTTAAAAGGATTTTTTTCTTGAAGCAGAATATTTTTTTAATTTACGAGTATATGGTACTGCTGATAGAGATGGTCTAATCAATAAAACGTACTCTTAACTAAGAACTTCTTTCTCTGAAGTCGGTTGATAGCATTCCAAATCAAAAACCCGTGTATGAAGAAGGAACCAAAATCTGATTATTTTTATCTTACTTATCAGACCGCAAATTCGAACTTTGATCTGCCAAAAAATAAATACTATGCAACAAAGTCCGGAAGAGTTAAAATTGGGCTATTGAAAGAGACTAACGAACGTTGACCTACATAACATTTTTTCGTTAAACTTTTGTTGGATGGGATCGTCTGCCTCTTACTATATCGGGTCCAATATTTGTTATCCATTTACCTGTCTAGACTGTCTCGAGCAGCAATAACGGCACGACTCAGGTTATTAAGAGCTTTAACCATGGCTAGAAAAACTCGTGGGCGGATAACGAGTATCAAATTAAAGATATTTGCGATTAAATGATGAAGTCAGAGGTGACGAGATTGTTTTGCTCTTGAATATTACGAGTTAAAAATGTCCTTCTAACTCTTTCGCTCACAGCGGCCAATCTTATCGAGACTAAGCCACCTTCACAAGAGATATTTCAGCGCACAAGTATACACGCAAACACAAGTGCACTCCATATATATTCTCACTCTCTCTTAAACTCCGGTGCGCAGCAGTATAGCGCAGGCGGCTTTACGTACTCTCTGAGGTCAGGTGATACACCGCCAACTTTTTAACTCCGATTTGTTACTGAAAATTTATTAACAGAAGAACCCCGTAAATGATCTTGGCGCGATTCGGGACTCGAACCCACGACCTCCGGATCTACGACCTTACATTCATACTAGCTACTAGACCACCAAGGCAGATCAAGTTTATAGTCTCACCATTGACCAAACGCTGACTACAGCCTGCCCTGCTGATCTACTATCATTATTATTGATTGCAATTGCTAGTAATAATAGAAAAGTTCATATAAAATGTACGTAAACCCGCTGATATCCATTAGTCGTATAATATAATAACTTAGGTAATTTCCAAGAGACCAAAACGTAGCGCTCTATATAAACGAGCTGCAGCAATTACTTCTTTTCTTCTTGTCCCGGTCTTGTTCAGGTCGCTTTCGATCAGATTCAAATGAAAAGGAAAATAAAATAAAGACACTCCAATTAGAGTCATCGCAAAACCTCTTAAATTATTGAAATTGTCAGAACTGAAAGAACTGAGTTACATTTTGCTCCTGTAGAAGTGGAAATAAAAAGTAGTACTATCATAGTCAACAAAATAAATATTTTATTGAACAATTATTATTATTTTGAAAGCTTGTAAATATGTTTTTATCCTTTCACTTTGAAACGGCTGGGCTGATTGATGCTGGGCTGATTTGGATGAAATATACACCGATTGATAGACCTGAACTACCACATGCTACCACTAGATACTTAGAAAGGCACCGAAACTAAGAGACAGATTGATAGTATACCTAAGTTATAATATACTTTTAAATATAACGTATGTCTGGTTAAAATATGTTTTATTTATTTATTTGCATATCTCTTTGTAAGAATCTGTGAAACAGTTGATGTAACAAAACTGATACATGTAGCTTTAGAACTACCTGTTCAAGTTATAACTAGCTATTCCCTGCAGTTTTGCCGGCGTTTATTAATCTGATTCGATGATTTTGCACAAAGTAAACTAGTGTGTAGAAGTGAATTGTTTATGTTAATCCCTCGAATTGTTTTTCAATGATGGAATATAGACCATTATTTTATGACCACTCGTCCCGGTAAAGTAATTCCGAATGAGAATAACACTTTTATAATATAATGTGATCATTAACATTAGCGACCAGCATACATATTTCGTACATCCTGTACAGATAATATCTATTTTTTCCCATCTTACAAAAATCTTTTTCGCTGACCTTACATCAAGTACAGGATCATTTCATTACCTTAATGCTATTAGTACGTTCTTATCCGGATCAGAGCAAGTCCTTCTAATTTGCGATAGCAATCGAAAGCTACTACTGAGATTTTTAAGGCCTTTTAAAAGTTAATCCACCTAACTTGAAGTGAAATGCTGGAAACTCGAAAACTTTTTCAACGAATATTGACTGTTTCTGCCTTATAAATATTTTCGTTATAGGTACTGCTAAAATTGAGACGAATTGTGCTAATGTTGTTAAGTTAATGTTTTACTAGATGTTAATATACTTTTTATGAATAGATTCAAACATTATATATGACGTCGAGTGTCGAGTGATTTTAAAGTTGTTAAATAAAATGTAAAAACGGTAATTTAGTCTTTGTGACACAAACAACACATAATACCTAATTAAGTATCTTGTTTTATTTTAATGGTGTTATCCAATTAATCAAATGTCTTTCTTTTCAATTTCACGTGACATTGGCATAAGAATAACTTTACAAGCAGATAATAGAGTATTTATTTATACATATATTTATCAGTCTATACCTTTTAAATAGTCGAAGAAACAAATAACTTCATTATATTTTTTTTGAGTATGTATATATTTGAGCATGTATATATGTAATATTAATTGTACCGTCCTGTTTACGGTTTTACTAATTTTTTCACCAGAGGTTGCCTGTAAGAGATGATAACACCACCTTTGCATGCCGTTTGTTATCTTTCTTTTTCTTTTTGTTTTCTGTATTATTCTTGTGTGTGCAATAAAGTATTTATAAATAAAAATAATAATAAAATCTTCTTTCAAATTGATTGATGAACCTATATAAAATCTATAATTTTTTTAAATTGCACAACTGGTCGGTGATTAATTATTTAACTTTATTTTTGGGAATATATCTTAAGAAAAAAATTAACATAAAATTGTAAAGTAACAAGAAAAATAACTCAGTAAAACGGGTCATTTCCTGTCTCGTCAAGAACAGAAGATGATCTATTTGCGTTTCAACGTTAGACAGATAAGTTAAATTGGTTTCTTAAGCTGAACCCGAAGGCAAATAGTTTTGCATTACAGGTTCATAAGTAATTTGATTATTTCTCATCAAGAACAAGATTACATTGTAAATGTCGAAATCTGATCGTTGAACTCGGATTGCCGTGATTTAAATATATTATTCTCATTAATCTCTCTGACTTTCTTCGAGGAATATCGTCATAATGGATATTGATAATTAGTTCTACAACTTAAGCGGCTTCTCTAATGTACTTTAGATTTTGCATGTATATAATACGATAACGTAAAACTTCGTAATTGCAATTATATTTTTACGTACGTACGTACGTATTGTACGAGGGGAATCAGGCCATAGTCCACCATGCTGGCCTAATGCGGGGCGGACTTCACATGTCTATCAAAAACTTGATAGGTTTTCTCAGACATGCAGGTTTCTTCACGATGTTTTTCTTCAGCGTAAGATAAGTAATAATCATGTTGGAAATGATTAACATGAAAATATTAGAGGTACACGACCCAGGATTTGAACCCGCTTCACTCGGTTTCTCAAGCGAGCGCATAACCATTGGGCTACCACTGCCTTTATTTTAAGTAAGACGTTCCATATTAACCTGGTTTGGATGAACGTTGATGACGTTTGTTACTACGTGTATGTATGTCATATAAATCCTATATTGTTTTGTAACCTAGATAACTTCTTTTTATTGGTTGATAAAGTATTTAATGTCGCTTTGATATATTTTTTTTTATTTTCATCTTTGGAATCGTAAAATGGCAATCATAAAGAAATTAACTATTTTAAAATTACAAGCGAGAATTTTCCACGGCTGTTTATAAATACAAGTATTTGATAAATAATGATCATATAATGCCAGATGTCTTTACTAGACTACTAGATCTAAAGATTTATTTAAAATAAAATGTTTAAATGTTTAAGAATTAACTAAGTGCTTTGTGGAGTTTCAAGTTGGAAAGTTATTGGTTTTACACCTCGGAACAAATGTTAAGCCGTTTGATCTCTCTCTAGCCGTATTAGATGTCACGTCAGTCTCTGAATTAAGGGGTTGCAAAGTGCAACTGAGTTTGTTCATACTTATGAACTATAAACATGCCCCGCCGTGACCAAAGTTTGGTCTTTACATAATTTTAGCGAAAGTAAAATATATTTGTATCACATTAATTAACTCGGAGTTAAGATTTAAAAAAAAACTACATTAGCACTACCCATAACTGAAAAGCTTTTTAAGAAAAAAAGTAAATGGTTAAAAAACGTTGATTTTAACATCGTTAATGTATATTACGGTGTTTTTGGTTGATCTTAACGCACGGCATGAGATACGCGCTTGTTACAGCAGGGCTTGATGTGTATAATCGATATTAATTTATCGTTTATAGTTTGAAATGCATTATGTAAAAGTGTATGTAGTAATAATTTAGATTTTGATTTGCTGCTAGCGACTTTAATCACTGGCAAAGGCATTTGCCACGTAGAAACTTCTACTATTACTAAATCTGTGCTCAATTAGCCTCTTTTTTAAGACAACAAGAGAATTGAATTAAATATCAATAATACGAGTAATAATGTCCTCCATACTGATTTTGGCCGTGGTGGTGGTCACTGAGAATAGCCAGATGCGCAGGAGATATTATAGTGTACAAATGTACGCGCAGGTACAAGTGCACTTTCTATTCCTTTTTCCTCTCAAAAACTCTGGGCTGTTACTTGGGCTTTCTACCCGGGTATCCGGATCCGGGTATACCCTGGTATATGAAATTTTTAGTACCCGGGTACTTATTTATGGTCGGTTTCGGGTATCCGGGTATCCACTTTGATCAAATAATTCAAGAAAATTC